ATATACATATATATTTATAATATGTTATCATTGAATTTTATAAAAGAAATAAATATGTATATATATGCATGTAAGTATGAGCTAGAAATAAATAAATTGTAATATTTAGATGTTGGTTAGTTTTTCTGATATTTTCCGCAAACGTTATGTTTTTACACAATATAGTTTTCGGCTTTTAACAACAATCACGAAAATCATTTCTATCGTTTAATATCAAATCAAAATTTATTATTTTTCAGCGATTTTTGTTTTTGGTAAATTATTTTTCAGCGTTTTGTGATATATAATTTCAAATTAAAAATTAAATTAAATATTAACAAAAATTACAAAATACTCTAAAAAAATAAAATATAAGATTTCACTTTACCATGAAGATAAATGGAGTACATTAGATAATCCATTAGTAATTTTCCTTTTCAATAAAAATTATGATAAGATTGTTATGAAATTTGTGAAATCATATTTTTGTAAAAGCAAGTGTGTATTATTAAATTTGGTATACACATGGGTTCATTAAAAATAACGTGTCTTTTCAAGATTTTTTAAATAACTTTGTCAAACAAACTGCAATATTTTTACGAATAACTAAAACTGTAAAAATTTATGTTTGTTTTTACTTCTTATTTATATTTTTTCATCTTATTATCATTTATTCTTTCATTCGATTATTTTTATTTTATTTATGATATTAAATTCTCGATATGTAAAATATGATAAGAGAGAAGATGAGATGGTAATAAAAACTATGTAAATTTTTAAAAAACAGCAGTATAAAAAGTGTTAAAATTATATACAAATATATGGTCATATTAATACTATAAAATAATAATAATTAGTATATACTTTATTCATTTTCCATAATAAGTAATGGTTCGAACAAACAAATTATTTTAAGTTATGTTACTTTTTAAACTTTCAATAAAAGTTAATTATTATTTTATTATTTTTAAATCTTTTTTATTCTTTAAATTATTGTATCATGATTCTATTTTATTTTAAATTCTACTATTTAATAATGTATCTAATTTAAACCTTTTAGATGTTATTATTATAAATATTCATAAATTAATAACTTTCTAAAATAAGAATATATCATACTTTAAACATTATTAATATATATAATATTTACTATCTTATTGGATAATCTAATATTATATATTTTTCTTTTAATATGAAATTATAATGTATAAATATGTATATGTATTGTAAAATTTTCGTACTAATACTTTATCTAATTATGAATATGTAAAAAAATTAATCATAATAATTATCTTTTTTGTTACTTTAAAATTATTTATAATCTAGTGTAGTTATGTTTAATTTTAAGTTTCTTTAATTTTAATTCAACCAATCAAAACATTTCGTTTATTTTAGGAAATTTGACATGTCACATTTACATGTCATCAATACAATACACTAACTTTGATTGTGAGTGTGACACATCAGCAATTTTTACTAATTCTACTTCTCAAATAATGTGTAGGGGATGACAATGTTATGAATCAAATTCAAATTGGAATATATCTATATAAACTATTCAAATTAAAATATGAATCAAACACACAAAAGATAAAAACAGTGAAAAATAATGTGAAGACTCCACACTATCTTACATGTTTTAAAAAAACAATTATCAAATAGTTAACTGCAAATAAAACAGATTTAATAAATTAAATAGAGATATAACTTCAACTTCGTAGAAGATCTGATGGAGAAGCAGAAGAAGCTTTACACAACTATTGTAGCATCCTAACAAAAGTCAATATGAATCAACATGAATCATATATTATGTATGTATAGTTACACAATATCAGTGAGATATTTAATCAATAACTAAATATTTGAACATATAAAATCTTTAAAAAGAATAACTATAGAAATCCTAAGGATATAAGACAAAATACCAAAAGTTTAGTAAGAAAATCATTTTCTAAATCAAATATATGCACGTCGAAGTTGAATAATTCGTTAGGTGTCATTACTATGATTAGACTTAATAAGATTTTAAATTTTCTAAGCAAAAAATAGGAAAAACTACAGATTATGTTTTAAAAAAAATTTATATAAAAGAAAATTTGTATAAATATATTATAGTTTTTATAATTTAAAAGATATGAACCAAAAAAATAATTAAATCAAATCATTAATACAGACTCGTGCGTAGCGCGAGTTAAAAACCTAGTTAGAATGAAAAGCAAACAAAAATCAGTTTAGATAATATATTATTTTCATTTTGAATATAAATAATACAATTATTAAATTTTACCCCAAATGAGAGAGTACGAAAATGATTTAATAACATTATTTCAAAGCATTTGAGATTCTACTTTGGTTTAATATGGTTAGATCATCTTTTTGTAATTTTTCTATTTTTTTATCCTCGTAAGCCAACTACTCTCAAACTTCAAAATCAAAATGGAAAAATACAAAACCATGTAGCCGTGCACTTTTTGCAAAGCAATCAACACGGACATTCAAAGCACAAAAGATAAAAAAGATAGAGAAATTACAAAAAGATGATCTAACCATATTAAACTCTTGCAATTCCGACTCTAAAGCCCGCCAATGCTCTTCTTTCTCAATTGTTTTAACCAGTTAGAAACAATCTGTTTCAAAAGCCACAGAGAAAATGCTTATCTGTAAGGACATTTTTATAGCCATATAAGCACTTTGAGTTCAGCATGGATAGGCAAAACTTGAGTTATCTTTAAAAAAATTAAATATGATAAAAGATAAAATATTTAAAAATTATTCAAAATTTTATGATATTTCTATAAATTACCTAAATACACATTTCAAAATTGACTTTTATCTAAAATTATTAAAGTTTAGGAAGTGATTTTTACTACTTAAATTTTTCAAATTCGTTTCCTGTTATCCGAATTTTTCGTCATGCTTTTTAATCACGATCACTTTAGATAATGCGTGGTTCTAATATTTGAATGATCTGTTCCTTTTTATCATGATTTCTCGTCATGATCTCCAAAATGAATATGTGTAATAGACGCACCAAGGAAATACTAGTGAGCAAAAGTGAAAAGAAAGAAAGAACGAAGTGTGTGGTAGCAGTTTAGTGATGCATTTAGGTCTATCTTTCTCCAAATGGCGTTTTACCTAAATCCGTCCAAATATCGTTTGCAAGAAGTTTCATCCATCAAATCTCGAGTAAACCAAATCCAACGATGAACGATTTATTTAAGTTTTCCGCCTCATTACTCTTGAGGGTGCACATAATGGGCCGAATTCTACGGCCCAACTTCTAGAGGTCGTCGTCGTCTTCGGCGATTGATTTGGTTTGATACTTTTATTCAATTCTTTACTCTAACAGGCAAGACCCTGATTCACTTGATCTATCGTAAATATTGTATATTTATTATCTAGATATTATGGAGATTTGTTTTTTTTTTTTAAATATGGAGATTTGTATGATTGTATCTATCTAGTTTAGGAAACAACTTTAGTACAATGAGAGCCAAGAACTGTTAAATATATACAATATTCTTTCAAATAATAAAATCTCACTTCCTCGTATGCTCCTTGTTTCCCACGTTAGATTTGGGCTCTGGAAGCTTTGATTAACATGCATTTCTTATCTGCTAACATGTCTAGCTCTTGGAACGCCAAAGAATCGTCACGGGTTGATATGATGGCACATCTCCCCGATGATCTACTGTTGAACTGCTTGGCACGCGTCCCGAGATCGTACCACGAGACACTCTCTTTAGTTTCCAAGAGGTTCCGTTCTCTCCTCGCTTCGACGGAGCTTCACGAGACCCGAAGGCTTTTAGGCATCACTGAGAGTTGTCTCTATCTCTGCTTACAGCAACCATCTAGCTCAAAGATACTTTGGTTTACTCTCAACAATCTCAGCCGAAAACCAACTCGAATCCCTAGATGGATCACTCCTTCCTGCTTCAGAAACCGCACGAGGCCTCGTATGGTCTCAGTTTCAAGTCACGATTTGTCTAATCCGCGGTATTGGATGTCTGCCACAGTCGGTTCTAATATCTACGTGATTCATGGAGGCACGAGTAGGGTCTCCGTCATGGACTGTCGGTCCCATACCTGGCACGAAGCTCCAAGCATGCTGGTGGCTCGGAGGAGCCCCGTCGTGATTGTTGTTGATGAGAAAATATATGTATTGGAACGCTCGCCATGTTACGATTTCTCCAACTTGATGGAGTTTTTCGATCCCAAAACCCAGAAATGGGAGCATGGCCCAATCCCTGACGCAAAGATACGCGGGCGAAGTATATTCCAATGCCTTGCCCAGGAAGGAGATATTTACGTGGGTGGAGCCAAGAATATGGTTTACAGGACCAAGGAAAATAAATGGGACGCATTAGGATCATCTATGCCTTTCAGCTTTAATAAGTGTTTAGATTCTGGTTGCACGATAAGTAACGTAGAATACTGGGCTTTCACCAGAACCGGGGTTATCTCGCCCAGAATGATCCAATGGTACGACTATGAGAGCAGTTCTTGGAGAGTTTTGAAGGGTTTAAAAGCCCTGCCTACACAAAGAGACCGTCGTCGTATTGGTGCTCCTAGTTTGGTGAATTATGGTGGAAATATTGCAGTTTCTTGGTCTGAATATGATCTCTTTCCTAGTGGTTTTAAGAAGATTTGGTGTGCTGAGATTGAGATTCAAAGGGGCAAGCATGGACATGATATTCGTGGCAAGGTTAAATGGTGTGATGTTGTGCTTACAATCCCCGTACGCGATTCATGGTTTTTCAAGAAACTTGTGGTTGGTAATGTTTGTTGAGTGAAGGAATCATCAGCCATTGCTTGGACATGGCATTATCATTTTAGTTTCCATATGGATATGATGAAAGGTGTTTTTCTTTTTTTTTTGCATGTTGAAGGCTTATGTGTTGTTTGCTGCGATCTATGAGGATTCCGTAAGAAGGTTGCTTCTTGTGATCTAGGTCTCTCAGGATCCGAAGAAAACTTGAGCAAAATGCATCTATGTATCACACAGTTACCTCATCTCATAAGACTGCTCGAGTTTTCCTGAAATTCTCTTAAACAAATTTCATGTTTAAACTAGTTAAAAGCAAGTGTAGCTAGTCTCTGGCGTTACACAAGATAGGAAGATTATTTGGAAAAATTAAATTGCAATCTTTGATAAATGATAAGGCTTTTATTTTCGTTTGGATTGATATAACAATGATGTGCATCAAGAAGAAAGCGTAGGCTGGTTCTTGAGGTAAGGCACTACGTACTTCACAGCGTCATCTTGCGCCATTTGGAGGTGCTCTCCAGGGACACTGACAAACTTCACTTTTCCAGCATCATCCAATGTTTTCAGACCAATCCAATCCTCAGTATAGAGCTTTGTCTGAAGAAGAATGCATCGTTAGAGAAACAAGTGGTTGGTTGATTTTCAGGAAAAAGAAACGAAATTAAGGTTTTCTCACCTGTTGAGGAGGCAAAAGAGGTGTTGACGCTCCATCAGGGTAATATCCGAACCAACAACTTTCTTTAGGAATCACTACTTTATCATCCTGGAACTGTTTTGTACAGTGAAAGAAGACAAAAAATCAATGAGCTAACCGAACAATGTTGTTCGAGATTTGGGTGAAATGTCAAGGATCATTGGTTTAGGTACCATGACGAGGACCAAGTTGTGCAAGCTGGTGAAACGTTCTTTGAAAGTGGAGCTCCTCTCGTTAGGTCTCTCGTTGTTGAGCTTTGGTAGATACTTGGAATGTTCCAGATATTCTGAGATTTCCTGAGAAGCAGGTAACAACAAACGCTTTCTCGATTGAGGTATTCATATAATAGGAGAAATGTTTTGAGGATTAGAAAGAAAAGGGTTTGAGATTACAGTAGAGATTTTGATATAACCACTTGGAGCAATATGATCCTGCAGAGTCATTACAGGTGTTGTTAATTAAGGGTATATTAATCATGGTTTAAGGTTTTGGATTTTGATTACAGTAGAAGAAGAACAAGAAGAAAGAAAGAAGGTGTACTTGAACATAGTCGCTGTAGACTTCTGTTTTCAGCATCTGGCAAATTGGAGGCTTTAAAACAAAGAAGCCCATTGTTGTTGTTATTGTGATTGTGATTAAGGATGTAAATGGGATGAAGACACAGAGATAGCGGTAAAGAGAAGAGAACTCACAGAACAGTTGGGGATGTCAGATATGCCAGCGTGAGGACCTCCTAAAGAGACATAGTTGATGACAGGAGGAGCATTGTCACAGAACTCTATTAAACCTCTAGCGACCAAGTTTCCTTGAGACTGTGCAACAATGTTGTAACCCTGACTCAGCTCTTTCATCTCTTTCACTTTCTCACACGCTACACTCGCTTGTTGCGTAAGCGGCATGTACACGGAATCTAGTTCCCCATTTCCTATTTCTCTACAAGATGACACATAACATAAACCCTTTTTGCAAGATTATGATGAAACAAGAATGAAGGAATTAGTTAGGTTGAGTACAAGCAATAGCCAGGGGAGCTGGAGAGGTTGCTGAGGAGCTGTGTGAAGCTGGTCACTTTACTGTTGGAACATTGATCTTGAACCCCTGTTTCAATCAAATCCATATTAGTGCATTAGTTTCATTTATGGATTGACAATATGAAGAAGAGGAGCAAGAAGAAGGATCTTTGGTTACCGTGAAAGAGAATGAATGGAAGAGAGATTGAAACCGGAATGAAGAAGAAGAGTGACAAGGTTACAAGGAGAGCAGATCGCTGGAAACTCTTCTCCATGGATGAACTCAGAGTAAATAATTACCTTTAATTTTGGAGGAAGTCGAAGAAGCAAGAAGATAAGAAGTGTAACGTTTGATACAGATTAATCTTAATCAATTATAAATGGAAGAAAAATGATAACTTGGTGATTAGTGTATGGGATGAAATCTACACTATCTATCTTCTATTATAATCTAAATACTATATATACAAATAGGTTAATATAGTTGCAACCTTCCCTTATTGATTTAATATTGACACATCAACAAATTTGAGCAAGTAAAAAATTAACATGTGTTTAACTATTAACAATATAAAATAATTATTTAATATTATTCAAAAAGATCATAAGTATAAAAAAAATAGAGAGAATGTAAAAAAGTAAGAATGATATACAATTTTTTTTTTTTGGTCAGCAGAATAAATATAAATAAATATACAAAGTCTTATAATATGGAGAAAAAAAGATGAAGGAACAGAGTATTGCATTTGTATGCACATTTAACATGTCAATAGAAAAAGAAACCAAATTGTTCGTTCCAAAAAAAAAAAAAAAAATCAAATTGCTACTCTTCCGTCCCAAAAAATACTGATGAAGTTACTGATTTATGTTTGAGGTATATTCTTCTTTTCTTTTTTTGAATGTTTGAGGTATATTCTTCACCTGTATGATGATATCGTATTTGTTTTTTTCATATACTGTTTAATCAATACAACAATAACATTAAAGTTTCTCCATGATTTGACACCTCAGCTTTTTTAAGTTCTATAAACATGACACCTCAACAAAAATAATCACCAATCAAAACATTTTATTAATACATTTCATCTACTTATTTTAATTTTTAAACTAAACCCATTAAAAACCCAAATAATTTTTCTATTAATTTTTGTTTTATTTTTTACCAAACTCAAGCCCAAATAATTAATAACAGCAAATAAAAAATCATTATTTTTTTTTGCCAAATCCAAACCCAAATAATAAATAAAAACAAATAAAAAAATTAAATCATTGTTTTTTTTTGCCAAAACCAAATCCAAATAATAAATAATAACAAATAAATAATAATAAAAATCCTAGCTATCTTTTTGTTTGACATAGACGAATATGATTGAAAAAGTGTAGGCTCATCATCAACTATGCTTCCATGACAACAACGCAAAAAGTCTTATGTTATAAGAAGCTCATACATCAGCAAAAATTTGAACCGATAAAATATAACAATTTTTTAGTTTTCGCAGGAAAACACAATTTTACGTGAGATAATACAATTTTGGTTTTCGCGAGAAATTGTAGTTTATTTGTTTTCGTAGGAAAGCGTGATTCTGGGCTATTAAAGTCTCTCCATGACTTGACACCTCAGCTTTTTTAAGCTCTATAAACATGACACCTCAACAAAAATAATCACCAATCAAAACATTTTATTAATACATTTCATCTACTTATTTTAATTTTTAAACTAAACCCATTAAAAACCCAAATAATTTTTCTATTAATTTTTGTTTTATTTTTTACCAAACTCAAGCCCAAATAATTAATAACAGCAAATAAAAAATCATTATTTTTTTTGCCAAATCCAAACCCAAATAATAAATAAAAACAAATAAAAAAATTAAATCATTGTTTTTTTTTTGCCAAAACCAAATCTAAATAATAAATAATAATAAATAAATAATAATAAAAATCCTAGCTATCTTTTTGTTTGACATAGACGAATATGATTGAAAAAGTGTAGGCTCATCATCAACTATGCTTCCATGACAACAACGCAAAAAGTCTTATGTTATAAGAAGCTCATACATCGGCAAAAATTTGAACCGATAAAATATAACAATTTCTTAGTTTTCGCAGGAAAACACAATTTTACGTGAGATAATGCAATTTTGGTTTTCGCGAGAAATTGTAGTTTATTTGTTTTCGTAGGAAAGCGTGATTCTGGGCTAGACGAGAAAATGATTTTTTTTTTTGTTTTGGCAAGGAATAGACGATTTTTCAGTTTTCACAAGAAAAATAATTATTTTTTTTTACTTTGGCGGGAAAATACAATTTTTTATTGGTTTTTGCAGGAAGATGAAATTTTTTGGTTTTTGTGAAAACAGTAATTTCTCGGCTTTGGTGGAAAAACACAGGTTCTCGCGGAAAAATGAAATTTTAGGTTTTAGGTTTGACGAGAAAATGATTTTTTTTGGTTTTAGCGGGAATAGCCGATTTCTCAGTTTAATGGGAAACTGGTTTTTTTTTTTTTTGACAAAAAATACGATTTCTCGATTTTTGAAAAAATAAAATTTTATGTGCTAAATTTCCAAGTTAAAATATGTTTACAGTAACCAAAATTTAATTATTTAGTTTTAACTAAAACGATATTTTAGGAGTTCAAACATAATTTTCTATTTAGTTTTAAAGCAATAGCAATGATTTTGATGTAATGTTATTGATTATAGTTTGATAGTTTTAGAAACATATGTTTATAATAAAATATTTGATAAATAAATAAATTTTATAATTCAAAATAATCATATTAATTATTTTTTTTTTAAATAGCATTTTGCTTTATATAATTACAAAGGAGGATCATGTGGTAATTTATTGAAGAAAATAGATTACATTTGTCAATAGCATGAAAGTATTAAAAATGTATTGCTTTATTTCTATACATTTTATTCATATATATACATTTATAATTAGTTTGTTAACTAAATTTAATAGCAAATTATAATTTTGAAATATATATATATATAATGTTTATTCAGATTTAAAACATATAAATACATAACTTAAGCTAATAAAAAATAAATATAAGACTTATTTACATTATAAAAATAATTTTATTATATTAAAAATATATACAAAATTTAGAAAAATATCCTGCAGCATAGCGCGGGTAAATACCTAGTATTATCAATAATAATACTAAAAGTATTCTTCTCTTGCAATCTTCTCTGTTCTTGAGATCTTGGTTCATTACTGTTTTGAGTATCCATTTTTTCTCCGTGGATTCTCTGCAGGTGATATATTGGGCTTTTGAGGTTTTTTAACCAAATGTTTTCAATGATTTTTTGAGTCAAAGTGTGCTTTTAGATTCTTTTTATCTTTTTATTGAGTCTTTTCAGGTTTTAGGTCGCTTTGGGAGAAAAAGAGTCGTTTTGGGTCCAAACGAACATATGTGGATGCATGACTATGCAGAAACTTCACGAGGGGATTTAGATCGATCGATTCAAGTCATGATCGATCGATCCGGGGTCTTAACCAGCCGGTTTGGTCGTGCAGAAATAAGGAAACTTCGGGTTTTTCCTATTCCAACTTGGTTTTTGACAATTTCTCACCTAATTCGTTTCTAGACCTATAAATACTTGTTTTCAGTCATTGTTTAGGCGGACCCTCTTCTTTTACATTCATACTTTCTATTCATGAAAGTGTTTTAGATTGCTTGATAGAACATATGTGAACAGATTGTTCTTAGCCAACAAAAGCGGATGTTAAGGCAATCTGTGAACAAATATTCAGAATTTTAAGTTCAAACGAAAGTTTAATACTTAAGTTGCTAGACAAAGTCTTTGATGCCACGAAAGTGGATTAATTATACATTTATGTTTGAGTTCTAGATTGTTCTATAATATGCCATGAATAATTGTCTGGTTCTTGATCTCTGAATTCCTGCGAAATATTTAGACCTAGGGCATTCTTTTACTGTCTTTAAACCGCTTTTATTTGCTATTTTCGTTTTACATTACATTCAACAACCCATATTCTTGTTTTAGCTTAATTTTATTCATTAAGATTTGCAGTATGACACTTGGTCCTTGTAGATTTGATCCATACTTTATTACATTATTTGTTGTACACTTGCAGTAGTTCTATAAGGTTAAAACTCTGTGTATCAGCAGGTGAACTTAGAATCTTTATTTTAGGAACATTGGTTCTATATCTATCGGTTACTTTGTGATTTACTGTTTTACTCAATGAGACCAATGAAAATTGGATTGGGTAAAATTGCAATCTTTGATAGAAGCTTTTGTTTTCGTTTATTGGATTGATATAGAGACATTTTTCGGAGATAACACGACAACGATGCCTCCTTACTCATTAGTTCAGGTTGATCTGCTTTAAAAAGTTGCAATGCGGTTAAGTATGTATGCATCAAGAAGAAAACGTAGGCTGGTTCTTGAGGTAAGGCACGACGTACTTCACAGCGTCATCTTGCGCCATTTGGAGGTGCTCTCCAGGGACTCTGACAAACTTCACCTTTCCAGCATCATCCAATGTTTTCAGACCAATCCAGTCCTCAGTATAGAGCTTTGTCTGGAGAAGAATGCATAGTTAGAGAAACAAGTGGTTGATGGAAAAGAAAATGAAATTTGAGGATGGTTTAAAGGTTTTTCACCTGTTGAGGTGGCAAAAGAGGTGTTGAAGCTCCATCAGGGTAATATCCGAACCAACTACTTTCTTTAGGAATCACTACTTTATCACTCTCGAACTGTTTAGGACAATGAAAGAAGACCAAGTTTGATGAGCTAACCGAACAAAGTTGTTCAAGATTTGCGTGAAATGTCACAAGGATCATTGGTTTAGGTACCATAACGAGGACTAAGTTGTGTAAGCTGGTGAAACGTTCTTTAAAAGTGGAGTTCCTCTCGTTAGGTCTCTCGTTGTTGAGCTTTGGCAGATACTTGGAGTGTTCCAGATACTCTGACATTTCCTGAGAGCCAGGTCACAACAAACGCTTTCTCGATTGAGATATCCATATAATAGGGGAAATGATTTGAGGATTAAAAAGAAAAGAGTTTGAGATTACAGTAGGGATTTTGACGAATCCACTTGGAGCAATATGATCCTGCAGAGTCATTACCGGTGATGTTAATCATGTTTAAGGTTTTGGATCTTGATTACAGAAGAAGAAGAAGAAGAAAGAGAGAAGGTGTACTTGAACATAGTCGCTGTAGACATCTGTTTTCAGCATCTGGCAAACTGGAGACTTTAAAAACAGAGAAGCCATTGTCATTGTTGTTGTTATTGTGGTTGTGATTGAGAAACAGAGGTAAAGAGAGAAAGAGAAGAGAACTCACAGAACACTTTGGGATGTCGGATATGCCAGCCTGAGGACCTCCTAAGGAGACATAATTGATGACAGGAGGGCCATTGTCGCAGAACTCGATTAAACCTCTAGCGACCAAGTTTCCTTGAGACTGTCCAACAATGTTGTAACCCTGACTCAGCTCTTTCATCTGTTTCACTTTCTCACACGCTACACTCGTTTGTTGCATAAGCGGCATGTACACGGAATCTTGTTCTCCATTTCCTATTTCTCTACAAGATGACACATAACAGAGAGGGAGAGAGAGTCACAGCCATAAACCATTATTGCAAGATCATGATGACACAGGAAGAAGGAACTAGCGGAAGTGAGTAAGCAATAGCCAGGGGAGCTGGATAGGTTGCTAAGGAGCTGTGTGAAGCTGCTCACTTCACTGTTGGAGCATTGCTCTTGAACCCCTGTTTCAATCACATCCATTAGTGCATTAGTTTCATTTATGGATTGAGAAGATGAAGAAGAGGAGCATGAAGAAGGATCTTTGATTACCGTGAAAGAGAATGAATGGGAGAGAGATTGAAACCGGAATGGAGAAGAAGAGTAACAAGGTTGCAAGGAGAGCAGATCGCTGGAAACTTCTCTCCATAGAAGAACTCTGAGAGAAAATAATTACCTTTACTTTTGGAGGAAGAAGATAAGAAGTGTACGTTTGATACAGAATAATCTAATAATTTTTGTGCTTTGATTATAAATAAAATGAACAATTTAATTTATTACTTGGTAGTTGGTGTATGGTAGGATCTTTAAATTCTTCTTCAATGAGATGAAATGAAACCGCAATCGGTGGTTGGTGCTTGTATTGACTTGGAAATTGAAACCATAACTTTTCAGTTGTACTTAACTTTTAGAACTAAATTTGCTGTCATTCAAAGAATGTAAATAATTCTAAAGACATTATAAGAGAAAAAAGTCTACACAATCTTATAAAAATATGACAAAGACGGGTTATCTGTTAATGATTTTGTTATAAGAATTAAAATCGGAAAAAGTAATTCCAATATATATGAATTTGAGAGTCACATGTTACACAGTTACAGATGTTTTCACAAACTTGTCTGCGTCAAGTAAGGGACAACGTATTTCACGACTTCCTCTTCCGATATTATGAGGTGGTCCCCTGAGACGCTCACGAACTTTACTTTTCCGACATCATCCAATGCTTTCAGACCGATCCAATCTTCTTTGTATAGTTTTGTCTGAAAATATATTTAAGTTTTTAGGAAACAAATCTTCAATTGGCGAAATGAAACACAGAGAGAGAGAGAGAGAGATTCACCTGTTGAGTTGGCAAAAAAGATTCGAATCCTTCATCTGTATAATATCCGAACCAAGCAGTTTCTTTAGGGATCAGTGTTGTATCGCTCTGGAACTGTTTATGAGTTAAGAAGAAAAAGCAATTAGCTTATAAGAAAAACAGATTTTTTCAATCTCTGAATTGAAGTAAGAGGAAGAAGACAGTAAAGTACCATGACAAGAACCAAGTTGTGTAAGCTGGAGAAACGGTCTTTGAAAGTGGAGTTTCTTTCTTCAGGTCTCTCATTATTAAGCTTTGGTAGATACTTAGAATGTTTCAAATACTTTGTCATTTCCTGAAAAAAAAAACCAAAACCATTGTGTTGAAAACTCAAAATTGACTTTAAATTAATTTGATTTTGGTTAGCTGATTAACTTACACCAGGGATCTTGATATAACCACTAGGAGCAATATGATCCTGCATAGTGATTAATTAAGAAGAATACTAAATATACTTTTGATCCTGAATAAAGAAATAGAGTGATATATATAGATAGAGTGTTGTTGTTACTTGAACGAAGTCGTTATAGACCTCCCACTTCATCAAAGCTTCTGCGATATCGCAGATTGGACCAAACTTCACACAAGAAACAACAAAACACAGGTTGATTAAGCCATTGTTGTTAATTACAGTGATTAAGATTAGCCAAAAAAGAAAAAAAAGTAAATTAGAAGTAATACAGAACACTTGGGAATTGCAGATATGCCAGCATGAGGACCTCCTAAAGAGATATAGTTGATGACAGGAGGAGCATTGTCGCAGAACTCTATTAAACCTCTAGCGACCAAGTTTCCTTGAGACTGTGCAACAATGTTGTAACCTTGACTCAACTCTTTCATCTGTTTCACTTTCTCACACGCTACACTCGCTTGTTGCGTAAGCGGCATGGTCCATGAGTCTGGTTCCCCATTTCCTATTTCTCTACAAATTATATTTAATGTAAATCACTAAAAGATAGAAAAAACTCAGATTTAAAGAAGTTATACTTAGTGTTTAGTGGTTGATGATTACAAGCAAGAGCCAGGAGAGCCGGAGAGGTTGCTTAGGAGTTGCGTGAAGTTACTAACTCCACCAGAACATTTATCTCCAATTCCTGTTTTTTTTTTAAAGGTTATTTATTGTCAATTGAAAAAAAAAAACATAAAACTGATGGGGAAGAAGAAGGATCGTTGAGTACCGTGAAACAATATGAATGGAATAGAGTTTGAAACCGAAACGATAGAGAATAAAACGGTGGCCACCGTTAAGAGGAGAACATATCGCTTGAAAATTCTCATCATGAATGATTAAGACTATCTATTTTGATGATTCGCCGGAATATTCTTCTTTTTCTCTCTTTCTTTTCTGCAACAATGTGAGATTCTAGTCTATATATTGCCCCCCCCCCCCCCAAAAAAAAAGTCAAAATAAAAAAAAGGGTTGATTCTCCCCTGTTTGGAATCAAATTTAACTTGGGATGACTTCAATTTAAAGCATTGGTTGAATTAATAATAAATTGTGGAGTTTTGCATTTGTTGTCTTGTACTCTTTATATTCCCCTTCAGTTACACCGTAGATATTTAAAGCATTTATAGATAGTGTTTTTTTCCTACTGTATATATTTTGGTTTGTCTCTCTATTGATCCAAAGTCTAGATGACCAATGTATTTAAACAAAATAAAAAGAGTTAAAATTTATATTGAAAGCAAGATTCATCTCAAAGTTCTTGAGAAGATAACTGATAGCAATATATGAAAGATATGCAGAAATCTTTCAAAAATTTTAAAATGTCTAATAAATCTGGAATATGTTTATTTTTACATTTTCCTAATAGAAAGAAAGAATACTAAACCGATTTTCTGACAGAAGAATCGCATCATCCAATAAGGATGACAAAAACCAGAAGACATGTAGTACTTCCCTCGGGCTTCTATGGGCTACACTGTGCAAGTTCTGATTGGGCTGCTTGATTCAGGAGGAAGTCGTTGCTGGTTGGTTTCTCAAGGGATCTCCTCTCTGGTAAGTCGCACTGGTTTGTTTTGTAGATACACAATCTCTCTGTCTGCTGCATTTATGAGACGCTTCTCTGATCCTTCTTCATCTGACACAGAAGATGCCTCTGAGTTTGATTCTTCCTCATCTACATTTGGGAGAAAACAGGAATCCATTCATAATTTGATTTGATCACAAAAGAGTTGGGCTGTTTTTTCTTTCATAAAACTCTCTTACCAGAGAACTCAAGGTGTTCTTGTTCGGGAAGAGCACTAACAGCTGTAAGCTGAATACTTTCTGGTAGAAGACAATTACAGAACGAACCTGAAACTTAAAAAAAACAAATGAATAAAGAACAAAGATTGAAACGAGCTGTGACATATAACGAGGAAAAAGGTTTATTATATCGTTTACCTACTCGGGCCAGGCGATTAATCCATCCTGGAATAGGCTGTCCTGTAAGCTGCAAGCATACTTCTTCGGTGAAATGGTTACAGTTCTTGGCAATCAAATGGTAAGTGTCACCATGGTATTGTCTTGAAAGCTTCTCCATGTATGTGCGGAAATCTGAACGGGACATGCTCGTAGTTCCCAACAAAACCGACCGTCTAAAGATGAACCCTGGACAGCTCCTAGGTTCTACCTCATATACTCCACTCGTTGGATACTCGTGAGCTCCATAGCAATATTCTAATCCATGAGCTACATTGAAGTTGACGAAAACTCTTGAGTTATAAAGGATCATGGAAGGTTCTCCGTTCAAAACTCATCAAAGTTCAACACTTTCTACATCTCAGTTAAATCTATATACCCAAATCATTAAAGCACGACTTGCCAAGAACATCAAGAACAGCAAATTTTGCTGCTCTTTAAAAAGCCTAACGATTCAACTTCGATAACATACTTAAGCAGACAATTAAGTTGTAGAACAGATAAGAGTCTGAAGATCAAGAGAATAAAGATTACCCTCTATTCCAGAATGGAAAATACCGATCCCAAACCAATAGAGGTAATTGTTGACAGGCGTTAGATCATAGACATTGAGATAAACAGGCGTAAGCTCTCTTCCCTCTCCACTGCTCTCCTCACTTGAGCATGAGCTTGCGCTCAAAGTAGGCACCCACATTTTTACACACCAACTCAAAGTGACGATCCGATCATCCCCTTTCTTCCAAAACCTCTGCAACACAAAAAGGTGATGGTGATTTTCATATAAAAACGAAAAAACCAAAATGTTCCATAACCTAGATGAGAATCACTGGAACTGAAGCATTCTAACATACACAATCCAGAGGAAAACTTCGTTTGGCAGCTAATGAGGATAGATCGAAGGAAATCGATTCAGCCAGAATCATGAACCTTTCAATTTCATAAACACCTGGGAATGAAATCTATCAAACAGGAGAAAGCTAACAACAAATAAATCAAGGCCTGGTCTTTACTGAAAATCTAACGCATATCGCTCGAAATTGCGAATCGAGAAACCCACGAACAAAATTCAAATCGAGCGCGTGTGTCTTCTTCCTCTGACATTTACATACAAAAATTCAGCGCGAGAGAGAAACGGAGAAGAGGAAGGCGAAGGAAAAGATTAGAGAGCTTACGTGAGAAGAAGCGATTTGGAGAAAGACTGCGAAAATGAATCGACTCTGATCGAGAAAAGTAAAATACACAACGCCTATTCGTTTTGATTTTGAAGATTTTCTTTTCTCTTAATTTTGTTTCCTCTAAAATTTGAAGAAGCCGACGAAAAAAAACAAATTGATCCCAGAAATATGAAAGTGAAAAATTAATGGGTTAAATAGTATGTAATTTTTTCAAAATGTGATTTTATAAAGTACATATCATTTTTAATATTAAACATTGAATTATAAAAATGAAAATTAATATGTTATTTTTAAACTGTTCCATATGTTTTAAATTTATAAATAGTTTAAAGAAATATTTATTTAATTAAATATTAACTTTTAAATGTTTTAATTTTTAATTTATATATCTACTATTCTACTAATTTATTAGTCAACTATTCTACTAATATACAGTCAAACTTAATATATATTATACTTTGTATATAATAGTAACAGAAATGTAAGTATTTGTATATTGTATGTATTTTCAAGCTTTACTCTCATAAATCATTAACTTAAAATTTTGCTATACATGAGTTTTTAAATTTACAATCAATAAAACTTTCAAATCATACAAACTTATTTTTACATTGATATAATTTTTACTATATGATCGAAAATAGTAACTTAATCGGTCTAATTTTGAATGTTAAAATACTTTCTATATTTCTGAGTTTCATTGAAATAACCGTTATACATATATATAGATATTATATATAGATATAAATTCATTAACACTTTAATTTTTAATTTATTTTATCTCAATATTTTTTTTAGTTTCAAGTATTTTTCACTTTTAAAGTTTATTTATACAATAACACTTTTTCTATTTCACATGTGTCAATTTAATACGTCTTACACAAATTAAGAAAGTTTTGAATTATGCAAATATGATTAATTTCATCTATTTTAATTAAAATAAATTATTCCGAATGGAAGTAAGAAGAAAGCTCTGGCCCAGAGAGAGGGTTCCAGTCTCAAATCATGAGTTTCAAATAGAAGCAAGTAGAGAAAAACTAAAGTCAAGACCGTAAGTAAACAATCAACAATTTTGCCAGAAAAACAAGGTGAAGTTTTTAGAAATCTGAAATCAAGAATCGACATTATTTTTCACGCTGCCTGAAACTTGCTCACCTTTTGAAAAACCCGTCTCCATGTTCATCAATCTTCCACACTTACACAAGGAAGTGTTAAAAACTAGTGCACTTATGGCATCTTATAGATAGATAAGCACACAAAGCACTTGAAGCAGACAAGAAAACTTTATGACTCTAAACAAAGCAATGTAGCTAGATATCTCCAAAGAACACTCAACAGACTAATTGGAAGGAATTGATAGAACGCAATTTATCTAAAATCAAAAACAAACACAATTATGTATATATATATATATAACTAGTAATATTAAAAACAAGGCTGTCTTGTCGAATTACAATGACACAGTAGTATCAACGTGGTTGCAAAAAGATAAGCTAAGAAAGAACCATATGATTCCGTAGATGGAACTTCAAATTTGACTTTCCTAGTAGTATTTTTCTATAAGCTAAGATGCCAAGTATAACCTGTTAAACCTTTAGCAGGCGATGCAAAAATCAATTTCACCGTCACAAATGCCCAACACAGAGCGAGAGATTGCGTGGTAATTATGACTTTTGTATACCGGAGCCCAAGGTAAATGAAAAACCATTGACGACCATTTCTTGTTTTCCATAAGACAAGAAAACTCAACTTCGCAGTCCCTGACACGAGAAATAAAACCCAACTTCCCTTGAAAGTCGATGAGCTTTGTGAACAACGAGAGGTGAGAGTTGGTTTCAACAAGACTGAATTTTTCAGAGTTTAGGTCAAAACGCACCACATCCACAAGCAACCTGGTGGTCTCGAGTAAGCTTTCAAGTATAAAAATAGCCATTAATGCATATACCACTTTCGCCACACACGTGATAACACGGGACGGGATTAAGATGATCAGGTATGCCTTGTATCTTTCTCCACAAGTCACCATCTTGTCCCACTGTGAAGACCCAAAACTGCTTTGGGCCGCCTCCCAATCCCGACATGCACAATACTTTGAACTGATCAGAGATTGGGTCGTATCCAAAGATAAGAAACTCTACCAAGTAATCGTGTTTTCCCAAGGCTTTGTTTTCGGGTAAGCTTAGATGTTGTCCCGTGGAAGGGTTGCATATAACATGTTGATTAGGTCTGATTGTGTAGAAGATCAAACCACGAACGGGAGGAGATCTGAGAGAGACACCGACTCCTCCACGGACTGTCATCTCATATCGGGTCGGGGATATAGAACAACTCGATCGATGTGGCGCTGAGAAGAAAACAAGCTTGTTATCCTCATGACAATGAAAGTAAAACAAGAGACGAGGCACAAGACAAGCATGAGTCCACAAAGTTTCGGCTTTGGATGATCCTTGAAAACTCTTTCGATAAGCACTTTAACCTCAAAAGGGTCTTCACGGGCAACCTTGCGAGTATCTCTATCACGAGATCCACATGGATGCAGATTATGTCGTCGTCTTTCTTCTTCTGGGCCATCTTCTAAAACCTGATTCTTTTTTAAGGATCTCGATATTATTTGGGAATGCTTTTTTTTTTTATCACTAGTGACTACGAATTGTCAAAGTTGATATGATATGATATGATATGATGCTAGCATATTCCTAATCCTACTCACAAAATATATCACACCTGTAAAGATTTTTTTCAGCTAAAAAATATAAGTGACAAAAATAAAAATTCAACCTAAACATTACAATTACATCGCAAAAGAATATATCTCTAGTAATTCATTTTTCCTTATTGGATTAGATAAGTCTCGAATCTTCAATATCCAAACAATTGGATTAGAGCTATCTTTTTATTATTATTATCTTATTATATAAAGTTAGATGTGTCAAAATTATTAATTCACATGATTACAACATGTGCCGATTTAATCAATAAAATTTTGACATGTATTACAGTAAAATAAAACCAAATATTATTTTTAAAGAAAAAAAGGAATTTAAAAAAAAATTAAAAAAAAATTTAGATGACTAATCCTAAAAAAGGAATAATACTTCAATTTTGGAAAATATAAGCTAAATATTTAATTCTAAAAAAAATATTATTCATATCTATATAAACATATCTCTAATAATTTTCACCAAACCAAATAATATTAATATCTTTTGAAAAAAATCAAATTTATGCAGATTTCGTATTAATGGTTATTTTGACTTCATTATTAAAAGGATTAGGATTTTTTTTACGTTAATCTATTTTTTATAAGTATTTTTAATTAATAAAAATTATTATATTATCTGGTTCTGCTTTCTTTACTTTGGTTTACAGCTAAACTTTTATTTTTTATATATTATATGGAATTAAAATAACCAACGACCATATAGACAAAATAAGTCAAATAATTAAAAAAAATATTATGGAGTTGAAAGTGATATTTCATTTCAAAAAAAGATATTTAACTCCATAATATTTTTTTTTAATAATTTAACTTATTTTGTCTATATGGTTATTGGTATTTTAATTCCATAAAATATATTAAAAAATAAAAGTTATTTCAACTTCATAATATTTTTTAAAAGTTTCAACTCTATAATACTCACAAAATATATCAACGACCATATGTGTTATTTCATTTCAAAAAAGATATTTAACTTTTATTTTAAAATTTTATCTAATTTTAATTTTTAATATTTTAATTAATAAACTAATTATTTTAATATATTCCATTAGCTTTAGGCTTTTAACTAATTCGTGTTTTTCAGTTTAGTTTATCTGATTATTTGGTTAGTTTGGATTTGAAATTTTTTACTGAACTGAACCAAACAAAATTATGAATTGGTTTAGTTCTAATTAGTTCGATTTTTGAAATTTGTTGTAGAATTGATTCAAAGTTATTGATTTTTTAGTTTAAATTCTGGTAAAAATGATTTTTAAATTAGTTGGGTACACTTACAATTTAAAATAGGATAATAATTAGTTTTATCTTCAAAATTTAATTTTGTAAAGAAATTTAATTAGAAATAAATAAAATAATAATTTAACAATTAATTTAGTTTTGATTTGATTTTTAGTATATTTTGATAAATTCTAAAATAATTTATTACAAAATCTACTTGTACCCGGATTATTGTATATTAATGTTGTTTTTTTTTTTTTTTTGTCGTCATTGTTTGTTAATATCTACTAGTATAATGTAGACAATAGTCTCTGGAAAGAGGCGAAATCACTCGCCTATTGAAGATTACCCAATAGGTTCTGTCGCTTATAATTTTTTTTTAAAACGGCTGAAGTAGAGTCTCTCGCCCTCTCTTCGATTCATTCGGATTTGCTTCCGTTCATCGAAATTTTATGTTTGTTTTCTTTTTCTTTCTGATTCTGTCGGATTTTGTTTGTTAACTTAGATCTTTCAATCGGCTTGCTCGAGTTTTCTCTCTCTCAGGAGAGAGTAATTTCTTCGCTCTTCAGTGATTGGCTTGAAGGTTGTCTCGTTGATTGAAAGCTTGTGTTGTGATGGAGGTTAAGCTTCGATTGGCTAGGAGAAGTATCAGTAGAGCGGAGTTGGAGTCTTTATATACCGAAGGTGTTCCGGCGAAGATTCTGTTTTCCGGTATCGGTTGTGTTGGGACCCAGACGAGAGAAGAAGAGACATTCTCTAGAATCTGCAGATTTTCTCGCGCATTCCCGAGAAATCGTCTCTCCACGTGAGCTAATGCATCGGCAGGGACTATTCAGGCAAGTTTCTTTTTTCTTTTAATCAATTCGAAACCATTGCATACTAAGTGTATGATAAAATTCCTCAACGACACTGGTGTAAATTTCTTAAAATGTTTTTTTTTTTTTTTTTTTTTTTTTAAAAAAGAAGCACATTTGCAATTCTTGATTTATGTTATTACTCTCTGTCTCCCTATAAAATGGTTACTCCCCCTCTCTAGTTCCTTTTCGATTTCTCTCCTTCTCTCAAGTTCCCTCCACGCAAGAATCCACGAAGATGGATCAAGAGACTTCCCTCTACCTTTGGGATCTTGATTCTTCAGTTAAAGAGCCGGAGCTATTTCGTTTTTTACAAAGTGATTTTGCAGCAAACTCTCTCATCTCTGTTGAAATATACAAAGATGAAAGAAATCACTCTTTGGGAAAAGCCAAGGCTACTTTCAGAGAGCGTGAAACGGACGTGGCCATTGTTGTTTTCCGATCGATCAAGTTCTTATTCTTCAATGGTTTTCTTTATGTATAGCGCTTATGTTAAAGACATTACTTTACCACTCGGCGACTCTGTAATCGGTATCTCTGTTGATTCTTTTCCACCACATATGGTAACAACTTATTTGCTTATTCTTGGCTTGTTTTCTTTTTCAAAATTATTGTGTGTTGATTTTTGCATCTTTTTTTTCCACAGTTTGTAGCTGAATAATGAGGCGGAACATGACCTTACGAACGTTGGAAATAGTGATTCTCTCCAGACTCCAGCAAATACGGTATTTTCTTGTTTCTTCATTCCTGAATCGTACTTCTTTTCAGTATTTTGACTCTTGTTTATTTTATTTTTCAATTTCTAGTTGAGTAATCATACCGAGCTTGACATTTATGTTGGAAACATCTCTGCTGCTACGACCGCTGAAAAGCTGATGGCTGAGTTTGGTCACTATGGTTTGGTGATTGACGCAAAGGTAGTTAAGAAAGCAGGTATATCCTACGGGTTTGCGAAATTTGAGGATCCAGAGAACAGTTTTGCTGCGATTCAAGCTCTAAATGGCAAAGTGATTGATGGAAATGCTTGGAGAGTCGAGAAAGTACACAAAAATAAGAAGCAGATGCGTGAAGTGGAGATTAGAGGAGCGATGGAGGAAGGGAGGGTGTTGTATGCGAGTAACTTGAGTTATCAAGTGAAAGATAGTGACTTGGAGAGGTTTTTTGGCCAATTTGGTGATATCGTCGCATGCCGCATAAGGAGACTTAGTGATGGCAGGAGCAGAGGAGATGCGTTCATTGAGTATTCTACAAAGGAGTCGGTGGCTAGAGCGATACTTGCAATGGAGGGAAAGACCGTTTGGGGAAGACCTATTTACGTGGGGTTAGGGAAAATCAATCCATGATTCTAACCAAAAAAACCTTTTTTAAATATTGCAAAATTTGGTTTGGTGATCAAACACAGTAGGGTATATGGTTAAGGTTCATTTGAACAACCCATTCATATATGATATATGATTTGTATATAAACAATAGTCGCGAGAAAGAAATTACTTTTGCTTTTACCTTTCCTTTCTTTCCCTCTTAGCTTTCGTTTGTGACCTTATCGAAATAAAATAAAACTGATATAGAAGATGGTAAGGTGTCTCCAATCATTTATTTTGCAACCGTAGAAAAATCTCTCACTTTACTTTTGAGTTTCAGTTACCACATATATGAAGTAGACGCAGCAACAACAATCTGTGTTCACATCATGGAGATAATAAGATTTAAAGTAATCAAAATATGTCTTGAGAACATCAAACCTGGTTTCAACCAAGAAAAATTCAAGTCCACAGAGAAGAAGAGAAAAACAGTTAAAGCAAAAAGACTACAAAATTACTGAAGTGAAGCCAATGGAGTGAAGGTAGGAAAATCTTTCACTTTAGAGGTTCACTTATGAAAACTTGACAAAACAATTCAAAGTAATCTCTGGTTCTGCTACATCTATTTTTGCCTCCACGCATGGACTCAGAAACTTGTGCATGTTATTCTTCTTCAAGAGAGAGTGTCTCTCAAGGAAGTGTTTGAGAAAAGTATAAACTCAAGAAGATACAGAATTTATATATAACAACAACAACAAGAAGAAAAGTCAGTAACTTTGAATTGTACTACAATACTATTGCGTGAAAAGACATCGCCATTGTTAAAATCTAAGATGAAACAGAAGTATTTATAAAGTGGGAAAAGGTGGGAATGGCCTAGAATCATGGAACGATTTGGATGACCTATAATCTTTAGACACCATCTTCGAAAATATATTTAAATATTGATCGGGACCTCTAAAAAGTCTTTAAAAAAGCATAAACAGTCACAATTTCATAGGTTTTAGCACAGATTGAACCATTATAAGGTCAATATCCAGATCCTCAAGCAGCACTAATACAATGGTGCGAGGGTTTAATCTGCTATTATGGATGTGTCATAGAAAGAAACAGCAGTAAACATTGGATTAGGATGGTACTCTGTCTAAGAAAGGACCCACATTAATGGGGATAAAAATGGGACAAAAATGTACAACAAAGCATTTCACTCTTACACAGAGTTGAAAGCTTTGATGTGGACTATCTACATTATGCTCAATGCAAAAAGATTGGCGATTGCATTTAATACGAACTGTTCTGATTTTGTAAAGATGGTGTCTCAATCATATGAATGGCTGGTTTTCCCATTATATTTAGAGGAATTTGAAAAGATCAGAAAAGAAGCTGGATTCTTTTCTATCTCTCATATCTCACACGCTCAAAATACAAAAACATGTAAGTTAGCACCGAGTACTCGAAACTATTTTTATAGTTTAAATTATTATATTTAACTTCACCGATTTAGATTTCCGTACTATTGTAAGTTTTAAAGTTGTTGACAACAAAATATATATATATACTTAACGACTGTTACACATATATTTTATATATTTAAAAAAATTAACGTTTTAAATTTTAATTTATTTTCTTTTAATAACTTTTTTAATTTCAAGTATTTTTCACTTTAAATTTTATTTATACTATAATACTTTTTTCTATTTGACATGTGTGATTTGAATACATGTTACACAATTTAAGAATTTTTTTAATTGTGCAAATATGTTTCTATTTAATATATAATTAGTTAGAAATTAATAACTAAAATACAAAGATAATTAGTTTTGGATCTTTGGTTAAGGAATAGATTAGAAATTTGTAGGAAAAACATACATTAAAAAATACAAAATGAAATTATTATTATTATGCAAAATGATATTCTTTTAAAAACGTAGCTAACTTTAAAGCGATTTGTTTTTTTTTGTAAAACTGTGGAGGAGTGACGTTCGTTGGATCGAACCTAAGTTCTCTATGCCAAAAGAAAAAAAAAAAACTGGGAGTGATGACTTTTGGAGGTGCATCACGTGGCATCTTGGGAAATAGGAACTAAATAAGGGTTCATCATGTTTGAGATTTTCAAAGAAAACAATGAAATAAATTCCTGTTTACGAGCTAGAGAGATTAAAGCCATCAACTGAAATGAATTTATAAGAGCTAAAAGTCCAACAATACGCCTACAGGCTACATGCATGCAAAAAGAGTCATATTAGATCTTTCTTAAACTAAAATTCACACGTGGGAAATAAATAACAAAAGTCAATAGAATTGAGCTTCGTGATCTTCTCTACGGGACTGACTATTTTAGGATGTTGAAACTTGAATTGAAAGTCGTATTAAAAGAAACAAATGAATTAATTAATTTTCTCGAATGTAAACACAAAAGGAAAAAGCAAGAGATCATACGAACACGTGTCTGCCGTAATTCCACTTCAGCATAATGCTGACCCAACAAAAAGTAAAAAAAAAAAACATTTATACAACAGTCAATTGTGAATAACCAAACGGTGGGTGTGGAGACAACGGCGATAAAAGCGGCATGCTCAGAAACTCCGTCAAGTCCCAGTCATCTATCGCCGTCAAACTTGACGTTGCTTGCTCAAGATTCCCGTCGCCTCCTCCTCGTCCACTAACGGCGTAACTTTCCTCCCTCTTTGGCACTTTCTCAGCCACCGTCATTTCTTCCTCCTCTCCGTCTCGCTTCCGTTTGCCGTGGCCAACGTCAGCGCGTGGATTCCACATCCCAACCTCAAGTGGGAAATTCAGAATCGCCTTTGAACCTCGGAGTCTAAACGCTGCTTGGTCGTAAGCCCTAGCGGCTTCGATCGCCGTGTCAAACGTCCCGAGCCAAACCCTAGTTCCGCGACGGTTCGGATCTCGGATCTCCGCCGCGAATTTTCCCCACGGCCTCATCCTCACTCCTCTGTAGTGCCTCTTCTCTTCTGCGACTACCGGCACGGGAAGCTGTTTCGGTTGATGAGTTCCGGTTGCGAATTGGATCCACTCGGTTCTGTTCGGCGTTGCGATCTTCAGCGGCGGTTTCCGGTTCGAATGAGAGACTGAATCAGTAACGACGCGAGGATTCGATTGGAAGGTGAAGGAATCGTTCGACGCAAGTGGAATTTCAGCTTTCACTTTATCCGAATCAATTACAGGTTTTGGTTCGAAACCAGAAATCTCCGATTCGAAATCAAACGAGTTCGCGAACTTGGGCGTGACGAGATCGATTACCTCCGGTTTAGTCTCAAATTCAGAAAAATCGAAACCGGTTTGATCAAATGAACCGAAGATCGAAAAATCGGAGCTGGATTCTGAAGCTCCCGGTTCGTCAATCCATCGATTGGTGATGACAGTAGGCACCGGAGAAAGTTCGTCGAGAAGATGCTTCTTGATGAAGAAAAGAGCTGATGCTTCGTTAGGCGTGGCCATTAGATTTCGAACTCAAAAACTTTTCGTAAAATTTGGAGAAGACAGAGAATAGAAGGAGGGAGAAGATGATTAATGGAAGGAAGGATTTGATTTGACAGTGAAGAAGAGAGTGGAAATGTATTTATAGGAAATAGTCAAGTCAATGAGAGACTCTTTCAAGGCAACATCCTTCCGCATTTTTAAATTTAACTCCAAATAATCAAATGTAGCAAGGTGTATCTGTACTAGCGTGGTTCGTCGATTTTATACCGTTTGATGATATAATAAACCCTTAGTCAACGATATGATCGTGTGGTTCATCCATGGCAGCTGAGGGAAAAACAAACAAATAATTAAGAATAAGCCACTAGCTCCTTTTAAGTTCTAAAAGGCTGCGATCAAGTTTAAGGTTCTTTAGATATGTATATAATTGTTTCTTTTTCTCCGAATATTATGCAAGAAATGATCGATTCATGCATAAGAAAAGTTAATCAAAAGATTAGTTCTCCTAATTCTAAAAGAATTGCCTCGTGTTGATATTTTACTACTAGTTGTAAGAGTTTGTTCACATCACATGCATGCATTTTCTAGATGATCTAAAGCATTGCTCTTTCAAAAAAAAAAGTTATCGGCCGTATTTTTGGATAATCCTGATTTCAACGACGATTACAATACGTTTATTAAGCTTGGAGTAATAGTTAATGGAAGAAAGAAAAACTGGTTTTATAACTTTAACGTCTAAATTTTATTTGTATATGTTTGGATCTAGTATATTTTTAAGACTAGATTCTCCTTGTCGACGATGTTTTGTATAGTCATTGAACATCTGGTAGACAAAGACTGATGAAACTCTCATCTTGCCGCCCATTAACATATAAACGAACCAATAATTTCAAGTTAAACAATTTATTATATCCAGTCATATATCGGGATAATATATATTCCTATAAGTACGTACAGCTATTTTTGTTTTCTAAATGTCAGACCAAACAGTGTGTTTTCATTTCATTAAACAACATTATATATTGTTATTTCTTGTTATCAGATAAAAGATAAGTGCGAAATAATTAAAGGGAATCGTAATACTTAAACTTGTAATCGTGTACTGTTCTAAAACAAGTGACATTGCCTTTGCTGCTTTGGAACGTGATTTATCCTGTTTACGTTTGCATACGAATGTGCTTACTTCATCCCTTCTCTTTTGGTTAAGTTTATCACATACAGTTGATTCTATTGATTGTCTGTATTTTTGCGTTTATTAGGTAACTTCTCTAAACGTCCCTGACTATACTTTATATTATGAATGAAAGATTACATAATCAAAATCTAGAAACCCCATAAAATGGACAACTACAACAGAAAATGACATTACTGATAAAAAAAGTATATTACACGCTAAAAAAAAAAAAAAAATTTTAAAACTACACGCTATTCCTTTCGACAAGTTTTATTCAGTATAACATATTCTCAACTATATAGTTAACTTTTATTCTTCATTGTCTTTAATCTCATATGATCAGTTCAGCTATCATCGATCCGTCTAATGAAACTGTAAACTACTAATCAAACTACTAATAATTAGTGATTATCTCTTTCCGCTTTCTTATGATATGTAGTGACTGCACGGGTCATCTTATTTGGATTTGTTAAAATCGAACATTATTGGACTAAAAAGATCAATAATACATTGATAAACGATAAATGGTAAAAGTCCATCAAAATCCTACTGACGAACAAAACTATCAACTGAAATTTAAATCTCACATAAACATTTCGGGAATAACCATCACTACAAAATGATATAACTTTTTAAACCAACGTCTTTTATAAAATCCTATACAAAGAAAAAATAGGCACCAATTCGGAAGAGAGGACCGATCTCTGATCACCATGGAATTATGAGAATAAGGTTTTCCAGACACAAAACACTGTTATCCGTTCTACAAGCCTTGGCATAAAGAAAAACCATTGAAGAAAATCATATGAGAAAATTTATTAATTCATTTTTTTTTTTAATACGACTTTCAATTCAAGTTTCAACATCCTAAAATAGTCAGTCCCATAGAGAAGAAGATCAGAGAGAACACGAAGCTCAATTCTATTGACTCTTTTTTTTCCCCCATGTGTTAATTTTAGTTTAAGAAAGATCTAATGACTCTTTTTGCATGCATGTAGCCTGTAAGGGGCGTATTGTCGGACTTTTGGCTCTTTGGGTTAGCTCTGTGTTGTATCAATGCATCAAATTGTTTTTAATCTACTCTTGTGGTCGTTATGGATCTTTTACTATAAAACCATTGAAGAAAATCATATGACCGCATTATCAACCAATGCCAACGATATGCCTAATAACAGCTTTATCGATTGTCCTCGATAATTCAGGAATATTCCTGTACTTAACTATATATAAGGGTACATTAATAGTTTGTTCTTTTGGCTGCGATTCTAGTGAAGGGCAAAACTTTGTTAATTTGTTTCTTGGCCGACATAGAATGGCATGCCATGTTCATTTGGTTTAGTACTTATACATACTATAAACAATAGATGATTAGTAGTATCATTTAGGTCTAATAATTAACCAATATAAACAAACATGCAATTGAAGATAATTCATTCTTAACGGATATCGAGTACAGAGTACAGACAATAAAAACTACTGTATTAAACTACAAATAAAAACAAAAGGTTTAAATCATTCGTGTATATTTTAGTTCATGTTTGAATTATATATGATTCTTCTCAAATTTCATTCAACAGAAACTCTTCAAATAAAATAACTTTTTATTTTTGTCGCTCTGAATTAAATAAGCAATAGAAGATAAATACTTATGTTTGTAGTTTCTCAGGACGTTGGTGTGTTTGCTTCAATTTCAAAAGTTCAGTTTTAGTTTTTGGTTTTATTTCCTTTATTCTTTTTGTGCTGATTTTAGCTTATTCTTTTTTTTTTTTTTGTCTTTGTTTCCCCTTGAGGCTGTTGTCTCAGAAAGAGTTGGTTTAGATTTTTATTCCTTACCGGTTTAGTCTTTGGAGAGTTTTTTTTTTTTTAACACTTTCCTAAACTATTACATTATCAAGAGATTTCACGATGACAAATCTCCCCCGTAACACACGAATCCACGACAGATAGTTATACTTGCACCACATCATGATGGACAGCTTCATTCTTCATTTATGAGACCGGACGGCTTTACCTGCAGCACGCTGAAACCTCCAATAAGTCTTGCATCAATAATCTGTGCAAGAAAGTGCACTTCCTGAATATCGAACCCCAGACTTGGTGTAGAAGCTTTTAACTCTTGACCACTATGTTACGGTGCTTCCACAGTCTTTGGAGAGATTAGTTTCCGTTTTCCAACTTATGTATTCCAACAATACATTCCAAACTTGTATTTTTTCATGATTTTAATGAATTTTAAATGAAAAAGGAAGATAAATACCTACTTTTAAACACTATTTTATGTTGAGTTGTAGTTTTTATCTTAATACGGGTATGTGCATGTACCTGGTGGTCTCTTTCAAAACTTTTGATTGAACACGTGCGCTTATTACATCTGACCACTTATATATAAAGTAAACTGAAAACGACAAAGAAATTGTCAAAATTTCTATAAACCATTACACTGTTTTTTTTTATCCTTTTTAAAATCTTTTTAATTTTTCCTTTTTTTATCAACAACCTCAAACTCTTATAACATTCAGATAATCGGTGGAGTTGAGTTTACATAGTTTAAAATGTAAAAGTAGTCTCGAACACTCTGTACTATCTTGTTTGCCTTTGTATTTTGAACGCATAGAATATAAAAAATGTGAAAAGTATTAAATTCTTTTAGTTTGATTTACAATTACAGCTTATATAGATTTAAGAATTATATATCAAAAAATTAAGAATTTTAAATGGCTTTTCAATAATACTCTCTCTTTTTAAAATGAGGATCTTCTTAAAAAAATCTGTTTTAAAAAGATAAAGTTTCTCATTTTAAATGTAGTTTTTATTAAATATTTCTAATATTGTTCTTATTTTTTATTTATTTATTTATTTTTATATCAGTAGAAAACAAAAAACAAATATATTATTTTAAAATTTTCTTAATAAATATAAAAATCTAAAAAAAAATCAATCTTTAAGAAACAGAAGAAGTATATAGAAACCGTGTTCTTATTTGTTTTCTTAATCTATAAACAAAATAACAAGTTGAACACAAAAAAAATAACAAAAGAAATTTTAAATTAAAAAAAATACCATACCAAAAGAAGTTTTAAGTTAAATTTGACAAACAAACTCTTTCGAGTGTCGTCTACCTTTTGTGGATCTTTATTTTTCATACTATGGAATGTTTCTATTATTTTATCGGGATTATTTGTCTTGATTAATACAAAAAACTTTGTAATAAATAAATTATGCATAAGAAAATAAAAATTGGAAGATTGTTGTCCAAATTTGATCATCATTTTTGTTGGAGAACTCAAAAATTGTAATGGGAACGCACGTGCGGATTGTTTGCACGTAATATATGCTAATTGTAGAGAGCTTGTTTGAATGTTCTACGGTCAAAAGTCTAACACGACCAGATTTGGTCAATTTCAAAGCTGACGTGTCAGGTGCTTCCCGTAACCACCAGTATAAATTTAACAACTCCAGACGAATTATACTTTTTTTTTTTTTTACCAAACTAGATTGATGTTTGTAATTTTGTATGTACATATATTTAAGATTTATGATATACCCCAATAATAAAAATGTATTCGACAAAAAATATACATGTTTTCTATCTTACAGTTTTTAATTAAAAATGCATAAAATACTCACAAAAACAACTATATATAAAAACATGAGTATATAAGCTATCTTTTTCAATAAACCATCTGTTAAAATGCTATTTATGAAACCATATTATGATTGAATGAATTTCGAAAAATAACGAAAAAAACTCTACGAAAATTTTATAATCTACAAAATGCATATTAAATCATGGCCAAACATGACAGCAGAATAAAAGAAAATTTTAAGTTGGACAAATGCTCAACTCACAATATATTCGAAATATAGTAAGTGTCACCATTTAAAAGAAGTGGGGCAACGATTAAACACCATTTTAAAAGAAGTGGACAACGATTAAACCCAATTAGCTACCCGAAGAATCCACTACATATTATTTGAGAAGTAATATTATTGAAAATTGCTTACTTGTCAACACTACAATCAAAGTTAATGCTTTTAATTGATGACATGTAATGTGACATGTCAAACTTCCTAAAATAAACGAAATGTTTTGATTGGTTGAATTGAAATTATAGAAATTATGGAATTAAAACATAAATAAAATAAATTATATTTATAACACTAAAATTAACAAATTTAAAGTAACAGATAATAAAAGCTATTATAATTTTAACTTTTTACAAATATTCATAATTTCATAAAAATAATTACGAAATTTTTTCAACAATATAAATATATATATATTATAATTTTATATAAAAATAAAAAAATAATATTAAATTATCCAATAGAATAGTAAAAATTCTATTTATTAATAATACTTAAAATATGATATATTTTTATTCGGAAAGTTATTAATTAAATCTAAAAAAGTTTTAAATAAATAAATTATTAAATAATACAATTTTAAATAAAATACAATCATGATAAAATAATTTGAAGAATAAAATGTAAAAAATAATAAAAATAAATAACTTTTATTGATTTTTCTTAAAAAAAACGTAATTTAAAAAAAAAATATTTTCAAACCAACATTTACTAAATGAATAAAGTATAAATTAATTATTATTTTATAATATTAATAGGACCATATATTTTTCTATAACTTTTATCATCTTTTTATTGTTGTTTTCTAAAATGTGCATACCTTATGTTACCATCTCATCTTATCTCTTATCATATTTTAAATAAAAATAAAATTTTATATCATATTAATATATATACATAATTTTGTTTTCATTGTATATCAAAATTTTGAGATCATAAATGAATTAAAAAATAACCGAACGAAAGAATAAATTATAATAAGATGAAACAATATGTATAAGAGATAAAAATAGAAGTATATAAAAATAAATCTCTCGTCCTTTGTTTTACATAGTCACTTAAAAAAATTTTAACACGTAAGAGTCATATTTTAATTTTTTTACAAATACGCGTACATATATAAATATTAGTTGTACATTAGTTGAAGTCACATGCGAACTTTTTTGTACATTTATTTTGTTAAGATTGATTACAGTCTAATTTTTATTTTAATTATTATCCAATTTATATTTCTAAAAAAATCTTTATAATTCTAAGTGTAGTAAAGTGATTGGTATGTCCGCACATGCGTGCCAATCATCTATCCGCTCTTAAAAATAAGTAAAAATAGTAAAAACTATTTTCAGTTTAATTTGCAATAAATCAAGAAAAATATATACTTAAAATATATTATATATGTATTTACAAACTCATATTATGTAAAAAAACATATTGTAGATTGTGTAAAGAGAAATAAAACATATTAATATTATAAAAATTTAATTATTATTTAACATAAATTTTATATTTGTGATTATATATTATTACAAGTATTATAAAATTTTTTTTTTTTTTAAATACATTGATTTCAGAAAGAAGTTTGTGAAATACTAAAACAATATATATATATATATATACAAACATACAAATGTTTAGAATTTAAATATTATAATTAACTATGTATATCAAACAAATTATACCTACACATATGTGCGGACCAACCATCTAATAATAAAGTATATAATTAAAAGTAGTATCTTACCTCATTATAATTAGATAAGTTCGTGAAATTTGAGAGAGTAACCATCGTTCCTCGAAGGGGGTCTTCGTGGCAAGTTGACAAAAGCAAGAGACCCCCACAGCCCCACTCATTCACTTTAAGCTATCTATGTATAATTTATTTTGGTGAAGGGATAAAATAATTATGATTATTATTATTACACCTTTTTATAATAATGATAAGCTAAAAAGAAGCTGAAAGTTCATGATATATATATAAATCGTTGCCCCCATTTATTTTTGTTTTTTATATGTATTATTGCACTTGTAGTTAGTCGTAATTTATATTTGATCGTAAACTTGAGATGTCTGATTTGTGTTGGCATTAGGAATTTGTTGTATTTTTCTCATTTGTGTAAAATTTTCTATTTTACAGAGATTTGTGTGTAATATACTTGTCAATTTCAGTCTATTAAAAAAAAAATCAATCTGTTATATTTTTGTTTAGAGTTAATTGTATTGAAAATAATAATTGCACTTCACATAGGTTTTTCTTTTAGAGTTTTTTTCTTTTACAAAATAAATGATTTACTGAACCTATATGGAAATTAAGAGACCAGCCAAAATAGATGACACATGACTAGGATATTGATTGAATTTTTTTTTTAAGCAACTGGAAAATGATATGACGGTTTCTGTTAACAGATGGTTTTCGGTAAACCGGCGCTTCAAAAAACCAAACAATGAACGACAAAAGGCAAAAGACAAGTTGAGAGATGAGACCAAATGTCACCAATCACAATATTGCTTGCTTCCTTAGATTGCGTGACATCATTCTTGACGGCTACTTCATTTTGTGTCTTTATATGTGGATAATCCGCACGTGCTTTAATTCACGAACCTTCATAGCAATGAGAAAAATCCACTACTTTCATATTTTCAACTTTTTAATTACCCCACTACACACTAAAATAATGTTTCCAAGAATAGTAGTATGTCTTTCTCGATTTAAAATTTTCAAGGTTCATGAACCTTTTGTCCCACTCTACTCTCTATATAAATTTAACAAACCTCTTTTACCTTCATTCCCACTGCAAATTTCAATACTTCAACAGAACAAATTAAAAAAAAAAAAAAAAACATTTTCAAGGAAAAAGATTCTACAAATTAATTTTTTCTCTCTACTATGGCGGCGGAATCTGACTACGCTTTTCTTGATTCAATAAGGCGGCACTTACTAGGAGAATCGGAGACGCGACTCAGTGAGTCGATGGCGAGTTCGGCGACACAATCTGACTACGGTTTTCTTGAGTCCATAAGGCAACACTTACTAGGAGAATCTGAGACGCGACTCAGTGAGTCGACGGCGAGTTCGGTGACGCAATCTGGTACAACCGGTCACAGCGTGAAACCAGTGTACGGAAGAAACCCGAGCTTCAGCAAGTTGTACCCTTGTTTCACTGAGAGCTGGGGAGATTTGCCGTTGAAAGAAAACGACCCGGAGGACATGTTAGTCTACGGAATCCTCAACGACGCTTTTCACGGCGGTTGGGAGCCGTCTTCTTCATCCTCCGACGAAGAACGGAGCTCTTTCGCGGCGCTTAAAACTGAGAATTTCGCGGCGGTTGATTCTGTTCCGGCGAAGAAGACGAACCCGGTTCCGGCGACGGCGAAGGGAAAGCATTACAGAGGAGTGAGGCAGAGGCCGTGGGGGAAATTCGCGGCGGAGATTAGGGATCCGGCGAAGAACGGAGCCAGGGTTTGGTTAGGGACGTTCGAGACGGCGGAGGACGCAGCGTTGGCTTACGACAGAGCCGCCTTCAGGATGCGTGGTTCCCGCGCTTTGTTGAATTTTCCGTTGAGGGTTAATTCTGGAGAACCCGACCCGGTTCGGATCAAATCCAAGAGAGGTTCTTCTACCGAAAACGGAGCTCCGAAGCGGAGGAGAACGGTGGCTTCTGCAAACGGCGCCGGTCAAGGAACGGATTTGGAATTGAAGGTCAAGTGTGAGGTTGTTGAAGTGACACGTGGCGATCAATTATTGGTTTTATAGTTTTGATTTTTCTTTGCTGATCATATTTCCCAAAAAAAGGAGAAAATGCATAGAGTGGGAAATGAAAATGTAAAGGACAAACAAAATTCATTTATTTGATTCTTCCCCTAATCATTCCAATTTCCAACCTCTTAGTGGGATTTAACTTTTTAGTCATTAAAAAAAAAGGAAACTATAAAATTTGAAGAAATAAAAATCATTCCCATTACAAGTGGGATCAAATTTTTTTTTATTCAAAAAAGTGGGATCAATTATGTTTAGGAACACGATGACATTTGCGATTTGTATTATGTTTTGGTAATGTTTAAGCAAACAACGTCACCACAGTTTTAATTAGTTCGTCCGTTAATGAAAAATTAGTTCTTTAATATATTCATTCTATCGTGAACTTCAATTTCATTTTTGTTTAATGTAAACGTATTTGTTACAAATGTCTATATAATAAAGGTATAAAACCCAATTATTGGAGAAGGAGACACAGTCACACAAGTAGTTCACTACTAAATCAAACACAAACTGATACAAAACACACGACCAAACACGAGGATCTGATAGAAAGCCAATCGACAAATAATCAAGAGCAGAAGTCCCTATCGAACATATCATTTATTTAATTTAATAAAAATTACAATTGGGCAAGGTGGTTTGGACAAGAGCAATCTCAGCATTGGTTTTTGCTATGAGATTTTCGGTTTTTTTGAATTTGAGATTGTAATAAAGAGATAATCCCAACGCAACCATAGATAGGATCTTCGATTCTGCATTGTGCCTCAAAGTAAAGAGAATCTGCTGCTTCTGATCTTTCATGTTGTAGGAGTCGCTGCTCAATATCATTTACAAAATTAATTAATAAACCATATAAATATTCATTTCAGAGTGAAAAAAATACGCAAGGGAAAATGTATTTTATGATATCAGTTTTACTAAAATGTCTACTACATAAGTTTATCTATAACGATATAACGAAAATAAAGTAAACATAATTCAAAGCCAGGTCTTTTTTTTTCCTGGATTTTTCTTCATAATCCTCATTTAAAATATTAAAATGATCCAAGTCTTTCATGAGGATTAAAAAGTTTGTTTTATAAAAACGTGTGTTCTCAATATATATATATATATATATATATATATAAAGAAAAGTGAGGATATTATTTCATTCGAAACCATTTCATATTTTTCTTACAAGTTACATGACATCTCCAATATCTCAACTTAGAACATTGACTTAAACTTTTTTTTATTTACTGTTAAAAAGAGTTTTAGAAATTTGAACTTCTCCTTGTCAACGATGACTTTGATTTTTCTACAGACAGTATAAAATTCTTTTATATATAGACATAACATAGCGTAGAATGATCTCTTTGCACACAAAAAAAAAAGAAGCGTAGAATGATTTCACCTTAAATATATATAAAGTATAAACAAGGAAAACAAAAGTAAGAAGATATACACATTACCTGAAGAATCTTTGCGACATTGCTAGCTCCATAGATTTTGTGAATATATTCGAATTTCTGGGGGTTATTAGGAGGGAAATAAGGTGAGAAAATGCAATCTTGAAGACATCTTCTTCTAAGATATTTGCAAGCTGCGCATCTCTTTCGTGAGTTCATTTCTTAGATTTTCTTGGAAAAATTTAGAAAGAAAAAATTATGTCGTCAAAGATTATCTCCAAATCTTTCAGAATCATATATAATGATTTGGTATATTTGTGTTAGACTTTGTGTCTTGTTAGTTTACTTATGAAGAGCAAAATTTCCAATTTAAATCCAACGGCTACTTTTTATTTAGCCTAAAAAAGGAAATTTCCATAAGGTAACCAATTGAGCTTAATTATTTTCCATCTAAAATGTTTTGACTCTTTTTAGTTAGAGAAAAAAAAGTGACCGTTTAAGATTCAACTAGTGGTTCCTTTGTTTAATTACTGAAAGAAACAACTAACAAAAGAAGTTGTGGAATTTAAGAAGCAATGCTTATAGTGACTCCTTCCTCTTCAAGCATCAAGACCCAAAACTTTACTTTCTCGTCTAACTTAAGATTTTCACCTCATTATCATTTTCTATTGTCTTCTCTCAAATTCAAAATTTCTCGTCTTCTCGACTCTCCCAACTTAAATCATTACTGAAAAATGCACAATTTTACATCATTAGTATTTCTTATTGATCTATATTTATTATTTTTATATCAAATTTCATGATGCAGTTATGATTTCATTTAATTTTAAAGTTTGTTTTTGAACTCGATTACATGATTTATCTCAGAAATCGACTATGTTTTAGACTGAAAGAAGCTTTCAGATACTTCTCAGTACTAGTTTTTTTTTGTTCTTAATATCATATGATATCTACGAGGGATTAGCTTCTTCACAGTCCGAAGTGAAATTATACAATTTAGGTAAGATTTAAAGTGTGTTTTTAACATAGATTCGAGAAAGATGATTAACATATACTAGTGTGTAACTTACATAATGAGGAGGTAGCTAAGCAACACTACGTAGCATGTTATCAGTTTATCACCGTTTATGTCTCAAATACCCTCTATCAGATACTTCTTTGTCTCAAAGTATGAACAAGACGTAGGTTATATTTTCCATGCGAGGGTAATAAACAACATATAGAACAGAACCGTTTTAAGAACCCTTGATATATTAAAATATTTAATTATTGTCTCCTGACGTTTTCTCAATATTTTAAAATATCGAAAGAATGTCTCATGAACTGGAACCACTCTAAATGTATAGAAAAGCAAACTCACTAGGAAGATATAAAATCTGTGTGGGTCATTAAGTCATAAGCTCAGAAACAAGACTTAAAAGAGCTTTTGTTTCTTAACAAAAGAGCCTCAGGCACTCTTAGAGATGGCTATCACATTGAAGTTGAGAGAACTCGGATTCTTCTCAATCATCTTCTTTATTACCTTCGCTGCGTCCTGCAAAGTTCAATATCGCCCGAGATATACATAAAAACAAACGCAAGATACATTCCCTAGATTCTTTCAAACAATTTCAAGCAAAACTAAGCTTAAAGAATGAAGGGTCTACAGTACCTGCAACAGGGTAGCTGGAGAGGAAGCACCGTGTGAGATAGGCCCAGCCTTTCTTCCATCAAGTTCATAAAGCTCCCCTGCATTTATATCCACAATTTAGTGTCAATTTTGGAGGTGAGTTTGATTCAGTATTCTCATTTTGATGTTGATGTGAGAATTCGTTACCATCTACACAAGCTAAACAGATGAAATGTGTGTCCACGCCGTCTGAAGCCTGAAGATAGGGAAAAAAGATTAAAAAGAAAAGAAAACAATGTAACATCCAAATGAACATGTTAACATATATATACATATATATATATATCTATATAGTAGCATCAACACGGGAGGTGAGAAGTTACCGGTGTATCACCAGCTGTAACAGCTACAGAATGAGCATCTTCTATTTGACTATCGTTCTCGAGAAACCTCGCACGCTATTAGCAACGTTAGAGGTGAAGCAAACACTCATAACCGTAATGAAAGATCAAATCTAGGGGAAATAAGATAAGATAGAGAAACCTCCATAGGAGTCATATTGGCAGTGGATTTGAAGAATTTGTCCAAGAACGATCCCTCAGCTGAAAAAGCAAAAGGAGAAAGTGATAATCGTCAAAGGATTTATGTCCTTGGATTTTAAGGAGAAAGTACATAAGAGAGATTTGAGAAACTCACAAAGCTTGATTTCTGAGGTTATATTCCCAATAGCATGAAGCAGCCCAATGGTTCCACAAGCGTTACCCACAGTTTGTTTCATGAAGTAAACTTTATCACTATGAGCCTATCATTCACCCACACAGAAACCAGAATGAGACTACGTTACAGAAACAAAAGGTTCGTCTTGATGGATATAACAAAATCAGATGTTGATCAGAAACTCACCTTTTCCTTGATTTCCTTGTCTTGCTCGATTCTCTCTTCTTCACTCTACAGAGCAAAAACATAAATTTTTTTTTCAATCAATACAAGCAGAATTTTTTCAGAATCATAGATGGGTATTCAATTGATAATCACGAAGAAGAGACCTTTTTGGTGATTGGGTAAAGGAAGAGAACAGCAAGAACAGGCTTTGGAACCATCTCAAGAAGTTCGTCGTCTAAGCCAAAAACATCACTGCACTCAGCTGCATCTGGGGCAAGACCAAGTCCCCATAGAAACTATACACACACCATTACGAATAAGATCACTGAATTGACTTATAATCTTCCCAATATCGAATTGGGTTTTGTTTTTTCCAATGATCGGAGAACGAATACTTTGTGCAATCAGAAGGGAAAGTTGAACAACAATACCTGATTCATGACTTCTGGGTTAGCTTCAAGTGGAAGCCATCTCTTAGCTGAAGAACTCTCGTCTACGGTCGCCATCTTCGGATCCTTCTCGTTGTTTCTTTCTATTAACCTCTCTCGATCGGATTTTGCAGAATAAAATCAAATCTGTAGAAGAAACTCTTCCGCTCTAAGATACGAATCGCTAAGATCCGAGAACGAAGCTCATATCCTCAAATACAAAGCGGTGCGATCTACAGGCCTGGCCCAATTAAGATGTAGCTATTACAAACTCGTTTTATTGAATGGCCCGGCCTAATAAGACCGTAGGGTGATCAATATAATCGTGAGGAGAAATGAACGGCGTGGATTTAATTTAGGGTACATGCGCCCGCAGAGGATAATAACTCAGGAGGGGTTTTTAAAGATTAGGTTCGTTCGAGCTAAAGTCTTTGATACAGCATCGGCTAGGGTTTGGTACTTCTTTACTCTATCGCAGCTTCTTCTTCTCGCTCTCTCTCTCTCTCTCTCTCTCTCTCTCTAACTCTCTTTCTCTCTCACTCACTTTGTTGGGCGTCGAAATAACGCTGTCCTTCGTTTCTGATTCTTAATTTTTTTTGTTCTTTCATGGATTCGATTAGGCAGTAAGGGTTTTTTTTTTTCATCCTCAAAACAAAATCCTCAGAATAAACTAGTTGGTCTTTAGATTCAATCGGGGCTGAGTAATGGCGACTTTGAACCCTTTCGATCTCCTGGACGATGACGCAGAGGATCCAAGCCAGCTCGCGGCGGCTAAGCCATTGAAGGTTGAGAAACCGGCTCCGGTTCAGCCTGCTAAGTCGGCTCCTCCTACTCAAGCTGGTGAGGTTTTCTCTTTGATTCTGTTTCGCAAGTTTTATAGTAGATTCTTGTTTCGTAGGATTGATACTTAGTTGGATTTGCTGCTTTGTCTTTGATGGTGTTAATAAAGTCAAACTTGTTGATTGGTGTATGTGAAAGACATAATAATATTCATTTGTTTAAGCTTAAAACTTCGACTTGGTTCTGTCGATATTGATTCAGGATATGAATTTATTACATTTGCTATATCTTAGATTCGTCGCTAGAGATATGCAACTACTGTTGGCTTAATGTAAATGTTGATCTGATGTTACATTTTCTTTGATTCGAGTAGGAAGAGAGGCCAAAAACGGTCCCGGAGGTCGCGGTGGACGCGGTGGTGGTTACAATCGTGGGAGAGTTGGAGGATTCAACAGGGACTCCAGAAACAATGATGGTCCTCCTGCTAATGAAAACGGATTCAGTGGAGGCTACAGACGCTCGGAAGAAGGAGATGGAGCCAGACGTGGTGGACCTGTTGGTGGATACCGTGGTGGTCGCCGTGGAGGCTACAACAATGGAGATTCCGGTGACTTCGAACGCCCAAAGAGGCACTACGAGCGACACAGTGGAACAGGTCACGGGTAAGCAAGCTTTCTTGATTGCTTTTCTTGACATCTTGTACTGTTTGAGTTTGTGCAGTTTGTAAAATGTAAACTTACTGTTGGGGCAGAAATGAGTTTAAACGTGAGGGAGGTGGCCGTGGCAACTGGGGAACCACTGAGGATGACATTCCTACGTAAGCATTCTTGTCTTTTTTAAAATAGGTTTTTCTTTGTATCTCTGTGTTGTTTCTGTTTGGTTTGTGTCTTTGTTGTCTGAAATTTAATCTCTTGTTGTTGCAATCGCTAGAGGGTCTGAAGAATCCACCGCAGTGGTGGAGAAGAATTTGGCTGCTGAGAAGCAAGGTGGTGAAGGTGAAGCAACTGAAGCAAACAAAGAGACACCTGCTGAAGAGAAAGCAGTGAAAGAGCCCGAGAACAAGGTACATTATCATCTTTTGAACTCACCTCCTATTTATATTAACAGCTTAATAAGAGAGAAATTTTCTGCCATTCTGATGTTAATTTGGTGTTTGTAGGAGATGACTCTTGAAGAGTATGAAAAGGTTTTGGAGGAGAAGAAGAAAGCTCTGCAGGCGACCAAGACTGAGGAGAGGAAGGTTGACACAAAAGCGTTCGAGTCCATGCAACAGCTCTCAAGCAAAAAGAGCAACAACGATGAGGTCTTCATCAAACTGGTGAGTTATCCGAATTCGTATGTATTTCGTCCTGGTCTCTCTCGGGAGTCTTCAGTTATTAATTGAGTGCTTATTGAACCTTGAAATGGCGTCTTATCAGGGAACAGAAAAGGACAAGCGCATAACTGAGAAAGAAGAGAAGACCAAGAAGGTAGTCACTTGTAAACCCTAACGTTTCTCATTTACTTTACTACTAGTAAAAAGTAAGCATTTTTGTTTCATGCTTACACGTTTATGTGATTTTTGTTTTGTAGTCGTTGAGCATAAATGAGTTCCTGAAACCGGCGAATGGCTACCGTGGTGGAAGGGGAGGACGTGGAGGTCGAGGACCAAGAGGAGATGGACCCGTTAGAGGAGCCGTAGGTGGAGGAAACCAGAAGACCAGAGAGCCTGTTGCACCGAAAATCGAGGACACCGCACAATTCCCTACTTTGGGCAAGTGAGGCTTCTCCGGTTTGGTCCTTCTGCAGCCTCCGTCTTTGTCTCTGTAATCTCTGAGTCAGTTTTGGATTTTGTTGGTCTGCTTCTATTGTTATTGTTATACTCTTCCCTTGAGAGAGCTGAAGGCTTTTTGTTCTACGAACCCAAGTTTGGGAGATTTTATGTTAAATGAGTCGAAAGAAAAATTTGTTTTCCAAGGTCGGTGTAAATTGCTTGCTAGTTTAAAATTTTAGGCTTATTTTATTCTACACACACTTTTATATATGCATGAAGAAATTACTAAGTGAGCTTATTGTTCAAAGTACATTACAAAGAATTCAGAAGCTTTTGGACATAAAAGTGAAGAATTGAAAAACCAAATACAGAAGACGAAGCAGAGAAGAGCAACCAAAGATGTTCATATGTCTTACATGCGAACGAATGAGATAATATATGGTTAAGTGTTACCAACGCAAATTAAGAGGAGCAGCAGCCTGATTGCTGGTTTACTGGTTGTCCTCGGATCTGGACCGTTGGTGGCTTGGATCCTCCTGCAGGTTGGCTCGCCATTCTGCAAAGACAAAACCCGGTTAAGCCTGGTTTATAAGTGTAACCGTTCTATGAGCTATATTAATGAATGGTGTGAGTTTACCTTGTCTTGATTGCAGCAGTCATGGCCATGAAAGCTTCTTCGACATTGGTAGCATTCTTGGCACTTGTTTCCAGGAATGGGATCCCAAGTTCATCTGCGAAAGCCTGTGTTGGCAAAAACAAACATTACAGTAAATTTCTTCAGTCTAGAGTGTCAAACTAACGATAATTATCTGAAGCATATAATGGTACTACCTTGGCTGTCTCAGTGGATACAACTTTCTGTGATGTGAGATCACACTTGTTCCCAACCAGTAGCTTGTTCACATTCTCACTGGCGTAGCGGTCGATTTCATTTAGCCACTGCTTCACGTTGTTGAAGCTTTCTTGGTCTGTTACATCATAAGTCACCTGTCAGAAAAAAAAACACACACACACACAGTTCAGTCTCATTTATGGATGTCAGTTAACAGGGAGATAGTGTTAGTGTGATAATACTGAACATACAATTATTCCATGAGCTCCTCTGTAGTAACTGCTAGTGATCGTTCTGAAACGTTCTTGGCCTGCCGTATCCCACTGCATGATTGGCAATCGTAATAAGAAGAGTTATCATATGCGCACATAAAATTCAAGTGATCGTGACGCTGACACGACTCAAGACAAAACTTACAATCTGGAGTTTGATGGTCTTTCCATCTTGTTCGACTGTGCGGATTTTCTGCAAAACATCATTACACAATTAGTACTTCTATGATTAATGCATAACCAATTGATAAGTGGATGAGGCTTACAAAGTCAACACCGATGGTGCTGATGTAGCTATCCAGGTAGGAATCATCCTGCACATACACAAAAAAGAAAAACTGAGACACCACAACAAAAAGTATAACAATAGCACATATAAGAGAAGCCTATTTGTGTATTCAATGTGATAGAGGCACAAACTGAGGCTAGAGCTTAATGATAAACTAGATGAACATGTATTGGTGTACAGTATCTGATCCTCAGAAAAAGTTAAGGCAAATATAGAGACAGAGATATGCAATTACTTACAGCAAACCTTAGAAGCAAGCATGACTTTCCAACACCGGAATCACCAATGAGCAAAAGCTTGAACAAATAGTCACTGCAAATAAAAAGAAATCGATATATACGCATTAGACACATGTTAAAGATGATCAATTTGATACTTCTCGAGTTCAAATCCATTTTTTCACAGCACACGAGTCAGTAATCCCGAAATTTAAAACGCAATCTCAAGCTCCATAATCCAAATTAACTATGGTATGATCACATCCTAGAATTTCAAAGCACGAGAATCATCTGTGTATTTAAAGCAAAACAACAGATCTCAACCAATTACTTTTTTTTCTAGATCTAATCAAAATAGTACGATCCACGAAACGAGAGTCCATATCGATCACACAGAATAAGAAAGCCGTCCGCAATGAAAATTGCTGAGATCAATTTCGTGAATATCCAGCTACAATACGATCAGAAGAAAACCGAAGAGAAACTAAAGCACAAAACATGTTATATTTTAAAGACGATAATCGATCTGAAGGATATGAAGAAAAAGAAGGTTCTTACTATTCAGGATTCATGGTCGATCTCGTAGCTGGATCGATCTACCGATGGAAAATAAGACGAGATTCCGATGATAAACAGAGAACTCTGCCGCGATCTTCGTCGGTGAGGAGAGACTGAAATGGAGAGAGACGATCGCTTTGTGTCGACGACGTGGTTTAGAAATGAGAAAGGCCCACACCATGTTTTGGTCATTTAAATACGTCTTTTTTTTTGTTGTTGAATTGCTGATGTGTCATCTCCAACCCAGAAGATGCGTGGAGGAGAGAAAGTTTCAATTTCTCTTTTACTTCTTTGTCACCTTTTACTTTATTTTTCTTTTTGGATTCGATCGAATACGATCAAAAACAAAAAAATAATTCGAATCTAATTTGCTTTTCTTCCGACACATTTAATTTCTTCTGTATTTAAAATTTAAATGGGCCTTTGGGCCTATTTAAGAAAACTTATTTATAAGGCCTGTTATAACTTCTCCGGGGAAAATTTTGGCTTACCTTCGAACACTGAATCATCTTCTCTCTCTCTCACATTTCTGAGTTTACCTCTCTCTCTCTCTTTCTCAACAGTTTGATAACTACGGCAATGGAAAACAGGCGGGAAATAATAAGCAGTGGAAGTTATTAGCTTCTGAAACGCCCATTATCGTATCTTTAAGCTCAGCGAGAGAGAGAGAGAGAAAGAGATGGAGGAAAACGGAAGAGGCGGCGGCGGAAGCATAAGCAGGAATGTTGTGGTGATGAAGAAGGTAGAATTAGGGTTTTCTACTAGGGGAATGAAATTAGAGAACCCTTTTGCTTTCAAAGCTCTTCAAGTCTTCACGGGATTCGGCGTAGGTTGTGGAATTGGAATCGGCAGTGGCGCACCTATAAACCTCGGTATACTTTCCTTTCCTTTTTGCTACATTTCGTTGGTGTGAGGATACTCTTTGTGGCGAATCTTGTAGAGTTTGATTTAGTTCTGCTAGATTTCGTGATCTATCCTGTTCAGATTGTGAAAAGATCCTCGTTTTGTAGTCATTTTGTGCTTTATGCAAACCAATCTGTCTCTTACTGGAGAAGAAGATTGTTTTCTGTGTTGAAGCCTTTATTTTAACCAGTGTTCTCGGAAATGAATGCAGTATTAAGCTCGTTTATGGTCGAAAACTTTGTTTCATTACTTTTCTAATTGGTCTGGCTCTTTATCATGATAGTGAGATCACTAGTCCTTACTGATTTTGTTTCTATTTACATATCAGGTAGTATTCCAATGGTGGGAGAAGTATTGAGCGCAGCTAGAGGAGCAACCAATGCGTTTTCAGGGGCAACGCACCACGTGAATGACGCAGTACAGTATACAAACTTGTGTTTCCTCCCTTTCTCCAGTTACTATCTTCCCCATAATGCTTTTCTGAACCTGGTTGTGCCATCTTTTAGTTGCGGAAGGTGGGAGCTAGAAACATTAAAGCAGGTGTTGGCTGTGGAGTTGGCTTCGGTCATGGTTTTGGAGTTGGTATGTTTCTACTATTAAGTAATCTCCTCGTTCTCCATTTTGGTAACATGAGCAACTTCTGGTTGTTTACTTTCTTAACGGTTGACCCTTTTTGAGTTACTTGGATTTGTTAGTTATGTTAGCATACCTTCAAGTGCTTGTTTGATATATGAACCTCTTATCATCATTAACTTTGTATCTATCATTGACAGGCATAGCGGTGAAACCAAGTGCCATACACAAGCTTCAAGCTTCTATTATGGTAAAGCGCCAGTCTTTCAACAAGTGTCCTTAATAATCAGTTTGTACATTCGCATGAAACCATGAGTATGAATCTTTCAAGGGAACTGCATCCAACTTGATGGCAAAACTCGGAAGAACGAGTGAGACCACCTCAAGTCAAACCGAGATAGAAGACCAGGCGTCTCAATCTCTGACCGGTCACAAGAAACATGTGGACACACAAGCAGCATCTTACAAGAACAGTGGTTCCTCTACTGATTCAAGAACGTTTGGTACTCGAACTGAGAAAGTGATCAGCAGTTTTCTCGACAACCCGATTCTGAAACAACAGGACACAAATGGAGAAGAACGACAGGTTAACGATTCTGTCACAGAATGTTTCTCCCTCTCTGCTTTGACCTCAGAAACTCCTCGTTGAACTTCGTTTTGTTTCATGGCATTGATAGGTCACACAATTGGAATCAGAGAGCTTAATGCTTCAGATGGTAATGTCTCGTTCTCGACGTTAAGTTTCTTTCTTTTCATGTTACGTTTGATTTGATATCTCAATGGAATCTGATTGTGTAGGTACTGAAACATCAGAAACTCCTTAACGAAGTAATGCAAGAGAACGAAAAGCTTCGAAGGATAATCATAGAAGATCTCAAAGTTTCACCCGAAAAACTCAAATCAGTTTCCGCTTACAAGTACGAAACACCATGCAAAGATTGCTTCCAGTGTCGTAGAAAACAGAGAAGAAATAGATGAAGAAAGCTGTAAGCCACAATTCCTTCATTTGTTATGAGATAAAAAAAATTCACAATATCAGACAAAAAACACAGAATACGTCTGCAAACTCTTACTTATATAACAGAACAAAACTCTTTGCGCAAACAATGGATCCTGTTCACACCGGCTCTCTTCTCCATCACCTTCTGTCGTTTAAGAGTGGTTCTGTCGCAGGAACTGCAAAAACAAACGAAGATAAAGCTCAGATCAACGTCTCTGCAAAATTCACTCTTGATTAGCAAAACAAAAGAGATTTGGTTATTATTACCTTCATCAACATATCCAAGTTTCTCTCTAATTTCAGCAATAACAAGACGGGTCAGAAGCAAGCCAGCACAAAGAGCACCAGCGACCAACATATAGAACACAGCTTGCCAACCCAAGGTCGAAAGAAACCCTGTCAAAAGAGGACCCAAAGCCGCACCAGCAGAACCAGTCCCATCAATGATCGCAGTCACAGTCGCAAGCGCCCTCGAATCGCCCTGCAGAGACTTGTGCGTCCCGAGATCCGCAGAGACCGCGGTTGTGATGAGTGCGTAAGGACCGTTGACAAACAAACCGGCAACCATCATGAGGAGGATGTTGACTGTCTGAGAGACACCTCCATAGGAATGGTACACAAGCATCGCCGGAATCGCTGCGTACATGAACGTTGCTGCAGTCGTAGCTCTCGCTTTGAACTTATCCGAAATGTAACCAGCAAGAATCCCTCCTACAATGCCTCCAACATCAAATAGCGTGGAGAGGTTCCCTGCTGTTTTCACAGACACATACTCTCCACCAATAGCTGCAAACAAACAAACAAGCTTAAGTAAGAACATTTTCCTAAAACTGGTATATTGATATTGACTAATCAAAACTTACTTGTTTGGCTCAGATAAAACGGTAACCAGTACAAGAACGTGTAAGCGACGAGCTTCGAGAAGAAGAGACACAACGCAAACGGTATAACACCAGGAATCATACAAGCTTGCAAAAGCCCAACACTTCTTTTGTGTTCATACCCTGACCCTGGCCCTGAACTTGAACCTTCCCCCCCTTCTCCTTCAACATCTGCGTCTACACCTTCTTCTACTTCCTCCTCTTCTTCCTCCTCAATGTTTCGCTTCCTCTTAATGAACTTACCGGAGTTAGAGTTGATATCCGGGAACCCAACATCCTCAGGATACGCAGCCAAGAACAAGTAAACAAGAACTCCTCCTAAAGACATGACAAATCCAGGAGCTATAAAAGACCATCCCCAACCATATTCAAGAACACCTGCAGCTATCAACGAACCACAAATGTTCCCAACCGAAGTATGAGCATTCCAAATCCCCATTATAAGCCCTCTCTTCCTCTTCCCAAACCAATTCCCGACCACAGCCACAACCGACGGCCATCCTGTCGCCTGAAACAACCCGGCCGCCATTTGCATCACCAGGAAGAACCAAAACGCATGAATGTTCCAGAAATAACCCATCCCGAACAGCCCAACGAAGAACCCACTCCCAATCATTCCCCAAGTCAGAAACAACCTCAGATCCAAACTATCACCCAAATGTCCAGCGACATACATTCCTATAGAGTAACAAGCAAGAAACGCCACATCTATCTCTCCCAGCCTCGACGTACCGTGTTTCCCGGTGAACGGTTCCCATCCTTTAGAGTTGCGGAACGAAACCTGATTTGCATCGGTCTCTTCCTTGATGAAAACGTCACCCAGAGGCCAAGGGTACTTGTTGATGTGTTCTTGCGGCGGCTTAGTGCTCGAGTCTGGGTGCAAAACGCTTTTCACTATGCTGCTTGGCTTTCGAGAGGCGTGGTAACAAGCGTACGCGATGAAAGTGATCAATAGGATTGCGTAGCGAAACGTCTTTGGGCTCCAATTTCTTCCTCTGACTCTCCTCAGAAGCAAAATCCCAGGTGGTGTTTTCCTCTTTGAACCCATCGCCATCTTCGCAAAATCTCTTTCTCTCCCACAAAAAAATTAAAACGATAACAAGCTTTCCAATAAATGATAATCGAAAACCAAAAAAAAAAAGAATCAACCTCTTACGGATCAAAATCAAATACGCAAATCCATGTTTTCGTATTGAGAAATCAGAATCACGAATTTAATTTGATTGAGAGAGAAAGATTAGAGGAGAGAGACCAGAGGGAGAGAGAGGATGGCGGGAGAGAGAGAGAGAAGGCGACGAAATGTGTGTGGATATGACACGTGTCCTCCTTGTTACGGTCGAGCCAAAAGGCAGAACACAGTTGTTCACGCCACGTTGACCACTTTGGTTTGTATGAAGCGACGGCGCGTGACCGACGTCATCTAAATGTGGGCCAATGATTTATAGGTTTGTGTAAGACTAAGCATCATCATAAGCTTTGGGTCAATTCATAGAATATAGCAGCCTCTCGAATATTATTTGATAATCCTATCATTATTATAATGTTGATATTTTACGAAAGGCCACATAAGAAAATATCTAAGACCCATTAAATTTAATAAATAGCCCATTAAAGAATTCACACGTGTAATATGATCCACGCGTGCCAAAATTGGAAGCAAAGCGGATAAGGGGTTCTTCACTGGCCTTCCCTCCATTTCTCCGAGTAACCGAGAGTGCAACCATGGCGACGAGCTCTCATCTTCTTCCTCAGGTTTTTCTCTATCTCACTCGCAAACACGAGTTAAGTATACTGAGTGTTGATATTTGTAATTATATAAGCATTTCGTTTATTCATTGTTGTTGATTGCTTGCTATGGATTCAGGCATTGCATATGATACCGAGAAACCCTACGCAGTCATCGAAAAATTTAGGGTTTTCTTCGGTTCTATCATGCGCACCTTCGATGAATTCTCGTCTATCGTTTTCAAGGCTTTCTCTGAATCACCACCCAAGCTCGAAACTCGGCTTCTCACTCGATACTAGAGCGAGACGAGAGTTCATCGTTAGAGCAGAAGATAACACTGAAGGTGAAGCTGGTGATGGTGCAGCTGATACGGAAGGCAATGCAGAAGAGGCGGTGGAAACTGGTGAAGCCAAACCTCAAAGGAAACCGAGAGTCAAGCTCGGAGACGTAATGGGTGTAAGTGAACTTCTTTGTTATCCAAAGTATGAGTCTTTTACTAATTATTCAACAAGGAAGAAAAGGGAAAGAGTGATGTGCTTTCTTGATTAGTAGTTATCTTACAGAAATTGGGGAGATTCAATGCGATTACTTGTTGTTTGTGTAGATACTGAACCAGAAAGCAATTGAGGTATCAGAGAAAGTGAGACCTGTTCCAGAAATCAGGACAGGAGATATTGTTGAAATCAAATTGGTAAAGTTCTTGATATACTTGGAAGAAGACTCTTAAGGTTATATGCATTCGAATTCCAAGTTTTGATTTTGCGGTATGGTGTTATCATTTGCAGGAAGTTCCTGAGAACAGACGTAGGCTATCTATCTACAAAGGCATAGTGATGTCGAGACAAAACGCAGGCATACACACTACCATTCGTATTCGGAGAATCATTGCTGGTATTGGTGTTGAAATCGTGTTTCCCATGTGAGTATATTTACTCTTTTCCCCTCCAGTTTTCAATTGGTATTGATTGTGAGCTCACTCATTACTTTTTAATGAGTCCGAGTTTATATATAGATACTGAGTTAAACTATCTACACGAAAGTAATTACAACTCTGTGCATAGCTATAACTTTAGTAACTCATTAGTTACTTTCCCAGTCATGGCAGCCTAAATCGTTATTGGAACTATCATGTCTGCTCATGTTTCCCATCATTCATTATGTTGTAACAAACAAACTTCTTGTAATATATGTGTTGATTTGTTACAATTTGGGATTTGAGAAAATTGTTTGATATGTTGTCGTTTAAATTTTGACAGATACTCTCCCAACATCAAAGAGATAAAAGTGGTGAATCACAGGAAAGTGAGAAGAGCAAGGCTTTACTACCTGAGGGACAAGCTTCCCCGTCTGTCCACTTTCAAGTGAACACCATCAACTGTGATGTGTTCGACCTCCAAAGGTAGTAATCTTTCGCTCTGTGTTCTGTTCTTGTAAGAATTGTTCCTTTCTTTTATTTTCTTTTAAAAATCTGTAACTCATGGCAAGCACATTCTTCTGAGAAAGTAAATCAATATTAGTCGAGCTACCGGTTGGTGAATGTAGACCTGGTCCTTGTTTGATAATGATTTATATTCGACCTTTTTTAGGACTTAAGAGATCTTGTTCTTGTTTTATTCCTTTTGGACTTCGTCTCAATGATTCGAATCTTGATTTTGATTGTATGAAGGTGGAACACAACTTATTATTATTATATCACCCTAATTTTGTCTCATTGAATCAATCAATGATTTTGTTTTTCCAGCTTACTCGTTGGAATTGTATATTCATCATGTTTGGTTATTGATTTATTCATATATCATCAAAATATGAAACATGTCCTCTTTGGCATCATGGTTAACTATAAGTACCAAAATATATAAAAAAAAATTGAAACATGTAACTATTGAAGTGATGACACAAAGATGATCGAGGCCAGAGTGAACAGAAATGTAGACCTTGTGAGCTTTGTGATTATGGACAATTTCTTCATACATTGGAATGATAATAGAGTGAACGCTTTAACAGAAAAAAAAAGGAACATAAAGAGTGAACGTCTTGCCACGTATCATCATCACCTCTTTGTTTTGGGTAAAACCCATTTTGTGCTGCGTAATCATATATTTGGTTATGTCGTCTCTCCAGAGACAAGCTAGGTTGGATCTCGTGTCTCGTCAGGAATATAAAAGAAAGAAAGGGGCTGAATGTGACTGAGAATGTAGAGATTCCAAAGATGGTCACATCAAGAGCCAGCTGCCGTATCAGCCACGGAAGCAAAGGTAATGAGAATATGATGTCGTTAACTTTTTAAATTAGTTTTTCTTTTTCAACTTTTTTTGCGGAAACTGGATTTCATTCAAAATATAGTATCCATTAGTTTTTTATTCATTTCTCCCTCCTCAGATTGATTAGATAAGTGGATGCTTTTTTTGTAAAGATAAAGTATTCTTTTAGCACAAACAAATTAGATATTTATTTTCTGTTTTGGATAACTCTACTTAATTTTGCAGTAACCCCAAAAATCTAAAACGGTACTCATTTACTCCCATTTTCTGCCTTTGGGGCTTACAGTATCTTCTTATCCTATACAGAAAAAGCTGAAACTGAAAGAAAAAAAAATGGAACTTTCAAGTCCAAAAGGGGTCATTGAAAGAGAGGCAAGACAAGATGCATTATATATGTAAGTATGTATGCATGTATATAAGACCCACCTTATAAACAAAACCACCAAAGAGAAAAACCCACAAGACTTCAAATAGACAAAGTCCTTCCTTTTATGTCCCCAAATTCCAATTTCTAAAGCAGAAACCTCATTTGATGAGAAAGCCTAAGTGTCTCTCTCATCACTCTCAATCAAGAGAGAGCTTAAAATCCCTTCCTTTTAAGCAGCTTTGTCCACTCAGAGTTGGTGAAGCAGCTCTGCTTGAGGAAACGACCCATTTGAAGGCAAGTCCAGAAGAAGGAGATCTTGATCGGAACTACAATTACCTTCATAGCCAAACACTGTAGAACCACCTTCTTGCGCAAATACAGAAGCCAAGCTTCTTGGGCTGAAGCACGAGACGTTGTTCTCTGTCATAACTTTGCTTTCATGGCTTGATTTCATCTTCGTTACACTTTTGGGGCTCCTCATAAGCCCTCTTGACTCTGCAATCAAAACAAGAAAATCAACAAAACACAAAGATTGAAAACCGAATCAACAAGACTCATGATAACGTCGTTTAAGAACTGACCTGGCTTCAATTGGGTTTGGTTTTCACTGCGTCTCTTAGTGGTAACAATATTTTTAGGTACATTTGGGGTTGAGCTTCTTGAAGTAGTAGTGACAGAATCTCCAGACCCTTTTTCCGGTTCCTGCGGCAAAATATCGATGAACCTCTGGCAAAAGCTGTGACTATGTCAATGATTCAATAAGTGTAAGCCGAACCTTCAGGAGGTTACAGCTCTCCACCAAACGAGATTTGTTAAAATCAGACAAAGCAAGCTTCTTAATAGTCCTCAAGTCTTCGAGTTTTGCCCCAGAGGTAGAAGGCATCTCAAAGACACCATCTGCAATAAGTTTCTGAAACAGAGAGAAGTTCTCTTTGAACTGAGCACTTTCGAACATCATTCTGAGGCTGCAAAAAAAAGATGCAAAACATGAACGGATTATAAATTTTGTTCAGTCTAGTTTCGTTGTTTTTCAAAATGCAATGCAGTTCAAACCTATCAGGAAGGTTAACAGAGTCAATCTGAGGAAGTAATTTCATCAGTTTCCTCTGTTCTTCTTCTGTGAATTGTTGTATGAACTCATCAAAGTTGAAAACTTCCTGCAATAAAGTATATTTTTCAAAAGGCCATTGTCACAAAGTCTTGTACTTTAAGACTTCCAAATGCAGATGTTCAACATATTGAACAGAATTGCTTGAACCTTACCTTCAAATCAATGCTACAGAGTGGTGAACTATGGCTCCCCAGGACATGCACTCTTCCAGTTTGAGACTTGGTCCTGCCAACAAATAATAATCTGTCTTGAGTAAATTGTGATCTTACGTACAGAATAAATTGAAGATATATTGACAAATATATGACCTCTTGAGTTGCTCTTGCTTTATTGCTTGTCCACCAGATCCTGAACCTCTCTCAATTCCGATCTCAGCTCGCTTCACGGAATGAGAGTATGCCTCACTGATGGATGGCTTGTTCTCAACTGAAGAGAGCGAGCTGGCTTCAGACTCCTCTTCCCGAGCAAACGAGTGAGGATTCCTCATCAGAACACTCCCATGTCCAAACTCGAAAGAGACCATTGACATTTCATTCTCAAAGAGAAGATCTTCCTCTGATGAAACCGAGAGACACGACGATTGCTGCTCTTGTAGAATATTGTAAAGGTCCTTCGTGAGCTTTTCAACAGAAGATGACTTTGGACGGCCAACACACGTCCTCCTCTTGGAAGGAACAGTCGTGTCCCAAGCGTTAGACTGAGACGGACCTGCAAAAAGACAAAGTTCACATAGACACACTAAGGAGCTGTTTCAATCTTCAAACTCAAAATTCTTGCTCAAACCGAAGAACAGCAAAGTAATAAAACCAAACCTGTTAACTCGCTCCCGTCTGCACTGCTAAACTGTGCACAGCTCTCAGAGTTCGATATAGCCGAACCGGAACTCGATCTGTTACTAGCATCCTCCTCTAGTGCAGCCTTCTTCAAACCATAATTGAATTCCAAGACCGGTCTTTTAATGGCGAGGGTTTCTTGAATCGCTTTCCTCTTGAGAAACTTCGTCTCTTTGTTCTTGTTACTTACAGAAATGCTCTTCATTCTTTGGAACCTCTGATGATCCTCATAGTCATCACCATCAGCACGAGAGTGAAGCGGTGTGTAGTTCACAAGTGTTCCCTTTGTTCTCCAACGCGATCCACACGCATTGCACAATACCGGCTTCTCTGGTGGCCCATTTCGCCACAGAGGTGTACCTGTTTCAATGTAAGAACAAAATGTCACAAATCTGCAATTGAAAAACTGAAATTTTAAGACTTCACATAAGAGTTCTTCACCAGACAACACTTGAATAATGACTCCCAATCAATCACACATTCTCATTTTCATAGCAATGAAGAACAATGACCTCATATTTACCAAACAACCTGAAGTCTTAAACATCAACCAGAGCTAATGCAGACACAAATTTTTCATTTTCATAACACAATTGAAAATTATATAAACACAAATTCAGATCCCAGAATCATGTTTGCCTAATCTAATGAATCCAATCAGAGTGAGAACAACAACACAAGGGACTCACAAACAGAGACAGAGCAGATATATGTTGTTAAAGGAACATAATTTTCATATGCTCATCTATGTTCTTTCAGTCCAGGAAGTTTTTGATGTATCTATTCAATTATTGTAACAATTTGTTATAAAACAAAACATATAACAACCTGTAATCAAATCATTTTTTTCAGAAAAAAGGGCACCACACCCAGAATCAGAAAGTGAATAATTCATACAACTTTTCTCATCATCAAATCAAAAGTTGGAGATACAAGAACTCACTTGTAACTCCACAGTGACAGCAAGGCCCTTGCTTCCCCATAATCTCTCTTTCTCTCTTTTTCTTTTATCTAAAATGAAAATATAATTTCAGAGGAAAGTTTCAATTTATAATGAGAAAAGAAGAGACTTTTTGGAAAGAAATTTAAGTTTATATAAATTTTGTTCAATGTTGAGCTATAATAGGAATATACAAACAGGCCTATTAACTATTAAGAGACTTCTCTCTAGCTAGGGAAAAAAACCCAGAAAAAGGTTTTTCTGCTTATGAACAAATTGAAGCCAAGAAAAAAACCCAGAAAACCAATTTCATTCGAGAAAATTCCAGGAAATAGAAAAAATAAAAATCTGAAAAAAACTCCAAAACAGTTCCTGGAAATTAAAAAAAAAAAAATCAAACCAAGACTGAGAAAATTTGTCTAAGAGATAACTTTGTTTATCTTTCTTTCTCTTTTTCGGTTCCTTAGCTATCAGTCTAATACAATCCAATAGAAAAGAGAAGAGACTAATTGAGAGAGGAATCTAATAAATGGCTGTGAAAAAGGGGAAGAGAGAGAGAGAAACTGAGGGTTTAGAGCGAGAAAGTGTTTGTATATATAAAATGGCTTTTTTGGTCGACATAAAATGGCCTCTTTCATGTTTCATTTTTTTTTTAGTTTGTATCGTTCTGAAGTAAAATTTTCAGCTTCCTATCATAAATTTAAATCCATTCATTATTTGTAAAAGAGAAATTATATTAACTAGTTTAGCAAAAAAATGGGATCTATAAGATAGTAGTATATGCATCTTGGGTCTACAATGGTTAGTAAAATGATCAATGGAAGTTGGGGGAATATTATTGCTTATGCCTTATGGTTCCTTCCTTCTTGTTGACTTTAGACTTTTCTTTCTTGTTTGTTTTTCTTTTGATATTTCCAACGTATATAATAAATATAATAACGACAATTAAATATTAATGACTTATATGATAAGATAAAATGAGAAACAAAGAAAACTACTATCACATTTTTTTCTAAAATTATTGTCCAAAAAGGATATTGTATTATGTATTAAGTAAATACATTCTTGATCTATTTCAAAACTAGATTATAATTTAGTATACCTGAATTTATAATTTAATATTTAAAATCTATAATAAGGTATAAAATCATATCATTTATAACCATATTTGTTTTTTTCTTTATTTAAAAATTTTGTTTTTACTATATTTATATTTTTTTTTTAAATTACATGTATTGAAATATGTTTGACTGATTTGATGAATGATATCGAAAATGTAAGCGGTAGTAAAAATTTGAATCATCTGGTGTCTATGTTAATTACATATTTTATATTTTTATTGATTTTTTAAATGGAAATTTTTTTCTATAATTGATTTTTTCAAAGTAAAAGTTTTACATATGTTATAATATGTAATTAATTTATTTAATATGTGATTATGTTAATTATCAACTTTTAAAAGATCACATATTAAAATATGATTAATTTATTTGATATGTCTAATCATTAATCTTAAAATATTCAAATTTATATAATAAATTATTTAGTCATGGACTGTATATGTATCCATTTAACTCCCTTATAAAATAGCTGCAAAGTGTATGCATGCACTATGTGAAATTATACAGGTTACTACCATAGATACTCAAATTAGTAAAAATGTAGTTTTATATCTCCGTTAAGTTGAAAGTACTAAAAAATACTGTAAGATTTTGATTATATGTTTGTCATGTAATTTACATTGGCACACTGTTGGATTCGAACTTACGTTATATCACAACATCAGTGCAAAATACAAGTTCCGTAGAGAGTTATATTTATTTGTGCTTTTGGAATTTGTTAAACAATGTAACACTCGGGTTCTACTTTTTTAAATATACTTTTTTGTCAACGATTAGATGAAGAGATTATGTTTTTTTTTTTGCTCAATCTCTTATACATTAATGATGATGACACGATGCTGGTAAAAATTAAATATTTTTGGCTAAGTGGGTTCCCTTTTGTTTCATACAATACAAGACCAAAATTATCGATAATTTTGTTTTCATAAAAGAAAAAGAAAGAAAGAAATGGCAGGTAAAGTCACCGTCCACCATGACGATCATGGACACAACTCCTCTCTCCACCGTTTGATTTAAGCTAAAAGAAATTCAAAGCTGGGTCCCACTTTTTATTTTTCTTTGGTGATTGTGAATGTGATTACTAATTAGGGAACTAATGCCGGACGAACACCATACACTAAACTATACGTGTTTTCATATTAGAATATTCCGATATCTTTTGGATTTCACTATGGTTATGTATTCAAATGTTATAATTTTGGTTTTCTTTTTGGATTCAAAGTGTATGGATGTTTTCTTTGGAATACTTTGAAAGCGATTCATAACGTGTAAGGATTTGATAAGCATATGATTACGAAGATATGGACATTAGAGTGCATATATGCAATTGGCTCACACTTTAGCAACTCATGGTTCATTCGATACTGTTTTTTGTTTTCTTGATGTTCCAATATTGTCAGCCTAGTGTTTATATTGTGACTATGTTTTGTATATAAGTATAATTTCATAAAATAATTTTTGAAATAACTCACTTAATAATTTTATTATGAAACATGATTCTTTCTAAAATGAAATATAAGAATGATTTACTAGTTTGTTTTTAATCTGTTGTTAGTTTGCCGATAATTTGTAATTACTCTAACATTAATCTGTCAGTAATCTTTGACCAACCAGTCTGACAATAGTCTGCTGTTAATCTGTTCTTATTCTATAAATAATAGTAGTTAGAAAGGTAGCTCTGATATTTATAAAAATTATAAAAAAATGTCATTTTTATAATTTTCCATCAATAAGGTATCCATTTCACATTATTTTATCATTCAAGATTATTTTGAAGCATTTCCATTAATTTCATCAATGCAAAATATAAAACCGAAACAAGTAAAATCATTGAGTTTTGAAATAAATCATTCAAAAATTGTATCTTAAACGCAAATACTAGGTTTGATGATAAAATACTATGAATTTTTTTATTTATAAATATATGTAATGTGATCTAATGCTTTTTGATTAGTAACATGGTAAATTAGCAATGAAAAAAATATATAGTAATGTTATTAAACAAAGAAACTAGTTCTAATGAGAAAAAATTTCAAATACATAAAGGATTACTAGATTGAGAAAATGGCGAAAATGAGAAAAATGATTACTAATTTGTTTAAAAAGAGAATAGAGCCGTGTTGTATACTGCAATGCAAAATAATAATGAGAATGATGGAATTTACAGAACTGAAAGATTAGTAACGAATATTGAGAATAATATTGTGTCAGAGATCGAAATTGATATGACTAGTCTTACCAAATTTAAAAATAGTGAAATCCAGAAAATTCAGATGCCAATCGCATCTCTATTCCCATTAAACAAACGATGGTAATGTAATAATGAAATAATGTCATCATGCCTGCCTGAAAGAAAAGGCGATGAGAATTGGAAGTGCGATATAAGAGGGTAAAAGACAAAAAGGTCATGCCTCAGTCGTGCTTACAATTACGAAAACCCAATTTTTTCATTTCATTTCATTTCATACGCTAATAACCAACACAACCTCTACGGCAAAATGTCAATTTCTCTAAAAATAATAAAAATATTTAATCATATAGCCATTTATCTCCAGTGCATCTAATATGCAAGAGTCAAATGGGTAGATAAGACAATCACCTCATCAACACCAGCTTCGCAGAAACCCTTAAGAAAATAAATACATGTTTCGTCGTGGATTTTTTTTTTTTTGTAAAATAGCACTCATCCTTAGAAACCAACGATCAAGAACAACGACAACAGCAAAAACCAATAACACTAGAAAATTGAAGAAACGATTGAAACAATATGTTGCAATAAGACTCTTTTAAAAATCCGAAATCGTACCCCAATTACGAATCTTCTTCCAAGAAACAACAATAAAAGCGTGGAAGAAGACATCAGCTTGTAGCAATGTCTTGTCTACTTCAGCACACACCTAATAATCACGAGCATTTTCCTGCAAAACAAAAAGAGTAAGACTTTATTTCGAAGTAAAAGATTCTACTTGCTGCAACAGAACCACCCATGATATGATTTTGATCATATGAATTTTCTCTTTTTTTTTTTCCTACGCATGATTCTAAGCTTACCCCATAGTTTGCGCAACTTCATTGCTATTTGAGTAACCGCTCTTCTCTCAGCAAGATTTGAAAAATCCATGCCTGAAGTCTCCTGAATCGCAGACAACACTTGAGCTCTCTTTCTCGCTGATGGGATAAGATAATTAGCTCCATTTGTAGTGCTCAAGTCAGCGACCTATTACAAGAGAAAACAGTAGTAGATTCTCAGTAACAGTTTCCACTACTACTACTACTACTAGCAAATCCAAGCATGATGATTTCAAGTCGATAAACTTGCCTGTTGCAGCCAAGGAAGTACTGAATTCATGAATCTTCGCTCGAGGAGGTAGGAGAGAAGTATACTGAGAAGCTCATTTACGGTATTCGAAGACAAACTGTCGAACACGGGGCCGGTTCTGTCAAGAAGCTGAACAAGTGCTAGCTCATCACCAGAAGAAAGCACTTCTATATACTCTGATTCAACCACATCTTCACATGAATTCACAGTTTTCCTCGATCCACTCATCACTTCTCCATAATGCTGTCCTATGCTTTGAGAACTTTCCCGGGCCTGGATCGATGTTTGTCTTCCCTGTCCAATGTTGTTCCAAATGTCTTCTCTGTTATGTTGTTGGCCAGTCTTACCAAAAGGATTACTTCGAGTCTTCTCTATACCCTGTGATGCATTTAGTTTGCTTCTTCCATGTGTTTTGTTCTCTCTTGTCATTGAGTACTTGGAAGTTGACAATGTAGATTGCCGATTGCGGATCTCTGTCGAGTTTCTCGAAGTGCAACTAGAGAGCCTCGGTGACACAGTACTACCTTGGTTTTGCTTCACAAAATTGGAGTTTGATATATCTGAATGCAAGAGAAAGTTTTGAGCTATCCCCTCCACTGCATATTCTAAGCTTAACACCTTTGATTGAAGAACCGAAAAGTTCTTCATGACTCCTGTTGAAAAGACCTAAAAAAATGGAAAAAGATATATTAGTTTGCACTCATTGTGTAAGAAAGTTGAGAAATCATGCTGAGTTATTGAGAACTGTAACAGTCGAAAATCCACTGACCTGCAGCTGATCTATCAGTTGTGACTGTTTATTCTCAATATCTGAGAGCTGTTTACGAACAGAAGCCATTTCATTTGCAGTCTGAGCACAGCAGTCATGAATGGTTTGAGAGCTTGACACTGTTAAAGTTGAGTCAGTGCTTGTACGATTCTTCATTTTGGTTGAGAATTGCTGCTCCTCAGAATCAGTTTCTTCAGCTGCGAACCGTTTGCTCATTATGGCTGGATTCACCGTACCATTTGCTTGGAAACTGTTTGAAGAAACTGTGATAGACTTGATATCATCGTCTTCATTCACAGCGTCAGTTACATAACTATCTGCCTTATCGTCCATTGGAATATACTCATATCTCACTTCTGGCGTTTTTCTGGCTTCTGCAAATGTTTTGGTGATGCAGCTGCCCTCTGATTCTTCATTGTGAAGATTATTAACCTTGGAGACAACTGGAGATTCCGGGACTGCGATTTCGATACGCCAATTATCCTGTTTAGTCTTTGGAGGGTCGTCATTGTAACGTGTAGGTGCTTTCCTGGCAGAAAACGGAACCTTTTTCCTTGCCAAATCCGTTACATAATTGTTAGATGTAACATCCTTCAGTTTAGAGTCACCGGTGCTGAAAAGTTCACTATTCTCTCGACCTCCATTATAACTTTCTGCGATTACGAAACAGATCAACAGAAAGAACATCCATGAGTCTATGAAATGCAAACAAATAAAAAACAAAATGCAAAAGAAACCATTTTCTTAACTCACCTTTTACAGAGGATCCAGTTTCAGATGGCTCTGGACTATCCGAACCAGGGACACCTTTCCAATACTGCAAGGCAAGGATAACTGAGTCCCGCACTGGTTTCACCTAAATAGAGATGTCCAAAGTTAGATATTTTACTCCAAACATTATCAGCATCTGTAAGAGGGTGAACTTCAGAACAAGAGTTCAAACTTTGTCAAAGCGACATGATTCTAGAGAGCAGATGCAAGAAGCCTTGAGAGGTCCAAGAAACTTTTCACCAGTAGCAGCTATATCCATAAGTGCTACAGATGCTGCCTTACGAGTTGTCCAGTCTTTGTTTTTAAGAGCCTCTTGAAAGCTACTCATCGCTGAGAAAAGCACACTCTTTGTCGTTGCCCCACCAGCCTGAAAACAGAGTCAATTTCCCATTTTCGTTATACAAACCACATCTAAGACTAATAGCATCAACACTTACCAAGATGATACTTCTGTTAAGCTCAATAACAGCTGGTTTCGCAATGAAATGCGGGCTATTAAGCAGCTTCACGGTTCTCGTAAGCATGCGTTGTATAATTGCAACCGGAGCTTCAGGACTGCTATCAATGACTCTCGCCAAGCACAAGGCTGCACCTGACTGCACGTACTTATTCTGATCACCAATGGCTTCGAAAAGCGGCTTCACCAAGGAAACGAAAACCCCATAGCTGCTGTCTTCAAAGCAGCTCATCTTCGACGCCAAAACACCCATCGTTTCGATACACGCATCTCTCACAACAGAATCCGAATCCTTGAGCCGCTTGACGATGCTAGAGACCATCTTAGCCAGATATGGCCCAACAAGCCCCTGATGAAACCTAGCTAACGTAGCCATTAACCTGACGCACTCTTTGCGAACAGCACTCTTCTGCTCGGAGTCAGTGTCGAGTATACAGGAGAGAAAACATGAGATCTTGTCTGGTGCGAGATGCTCGACTGTCTTCTCAAGCTCATCGACTCCTCTCTGATATGTATCTCGATCCGCGAGCTTGTTCAAGGCCGTGACAACTTTCTTCTTCAGCTCGAAAATTACCTGCTGTGGATTTGCCGCCTTGATGTTTCCTCCTCTCCCTTTGGCCTGCATGTTCGTCGTCGTCTTCATTATCCTCTCCTTTTGCTTCTCTATTTACACATTGGTTTGTGAGCATCCAAGATCTGCTGCGACTTGAATCCCAATACCTGCGAGAACGAAGTAAAATTGAGCTACTGAGTTGTAAAATATAGTCAGAAGAAAAAAAATGTAAGTGAAGAGGATTTGGTTAATAAGAGCAAATTCAACAAAATACTCGCATCAAATATATATAGATAAGATATGATTTCGTGAAACGGATGAAATATGTCTGAGAATAACGCCGATCAGATCACAAATCAATGATTTAGTGATTTCTCCCTAATTTGCCCTAAATTAGGATCAACGCGGAGCCAAATTCGGAAGAAGAATGTGTTATTACCAAAAATAACAGTTAGCTGAAATTTTTTTATTCTTAAACGACGATTCAATCTCAGGGGAGTACCAAAGTAGAATGCAGAGGAAGTGAAAGCTAAAAAGATGGAAAGTAAGTTCAAGAGAATAATAGCGAAGAAAGCATACTGTGAAGCTTCAGGAGGATGGTGGTGAGCGAAAGGATTGAGAAACCATGAAGATTAACACAGCCGTTGATGAGGTTCAATATGTGTTTGGTTTCCAAGAAAATGATGATGGAAATCTCAGGTGGTGGAGAGAAAAAAAGAAAAGAGAAGATTCAAAAAGCAGAGAGAAGAGCGACAGAGAGTTGCTTTCTTTCACGGAGCCCAGAGTTTGGCAGAGAGGAGAGTGAGGCGCGTGTGGTTCAGTCTCCATTGATCTGCGTGTTTTATTTTAAGTTTTGAATCTCGCGCTCGCTTGCTAGGTTTTCGAATTTTGGACTTGTGGGGTCCGCTTGATTGGAAATTTAAAAGTTTTGAACACAAAAAAGGAAAAAGGTTTGACCGTAATAAAATTTCGAACTGATATGACGCAGGTTCAGAGAGGACTGGGCCTTTGCGGCCCGGCTATGTTCTGATATAACCGTATTTTTCCTTAAAACATTATATGTTTTGTGTTTTAAAAAATTCATATATTTTGAAACATAAAAAATGCAGAATTCATATGATACATGTTCTCTGATCGGTTTTGCCATCACTAAAGAGAAGGCTTCTAAGTTGTCGAAAAAAAAAAGAGAAAGCTTCTTCAAATTGCTTGTGCTTTGATCATCTTCAGAATTTAGAGATGACGACGAAAAAGAATTTCAAATGCGAGCCCAAAAATGGAGACTATACGGTCAATCAAAGTCCATTGACAGTAGTTTGACAATAATACCCCTCAGAGCACTCCAAAAGGTTGAGGATGATGGGCTTTTAATCCGAGCCCATGAATACTGTCAGTTCTCTTATTTTATTTTTTTTTGAAATTATGGGTAGTGCAAAAACTTTACGTAGTTTCTGTTTCGGAGCAAGAAACGACATACATGTTACCTCTTCGACGATAACACGTCTCTCCCAAAGGATTAATTTAGAACCTCTTGTTCAAACATCGACAGAGTGAGAGCTGAGCTAAGAAACAATCACAATGGCGTTGTTCTCCCCGCCAATCTCTTCTCCATCTCTTCAAAATTCCAATTTCATCCCAAAGTTCTCATTCTCTCTCCTCTCCTCGAAGCGCTTCTCTCTCCTCTCCGTCACCCGAGCTTACTCATCCTCTTCCTCTGACAGTGGGATAACCTCTCCCGCGGTTACTGAGCCTGTAGCGGTGATAGTGAAAGAAGCTCCGTCTTCAACACCGGCGGTTAAGAAAGAAGAAACCGCCGCCGCCGGAAATGTCGCCGTCGAAGGTGAAGAGATGAAGACGACGGAGACGCTTATCAAATTCGAGGATGCGAGATGGGTTAATGGAACTTGGGATCTGAAACAATTCGAGAAAGATGGGAAAACCGATTGGGATTCCGTTATCGTTGCTGGTTAGATCCTCGAATTTCGGTTTGTTCTAAATTACTACAAATGCTTACAAAACAAGAAACTTGAATTATTTCGTTTTTTTTTTTTTCGTTTTTTGAAGAGGCGAAGAGAAGAAAATGGCTGGAAGAGAATCCAGAGACGACGAGTAACGACGAACCAGTGCTCTTCGATACATCGATAATTCCATGGTGGGCTTGGATGAAGAGATATCACTTACCCGAAGCTGAGCTCCTTAATGGTTTTTGTTCCCTCTTACATCTCTAAAATCCCTTAGAAGATCAAAACACACAATGTAACTACTAACTGAGAGATGTTACACAACATGTTGCAGGACGTGCTGCGATGATAGGATTCTTCATGGCTTACTTTGTTGATAGCCTTACCGGAGTAGGACTTGTTGACCAAATGGGGAACTTCTTCTGCAAAACACTCTTGTTCGTCGCTGTTGCTGGAGTTCTCTTCATCCGCAAGAACGAGGATGTGGACAAACTCAAGAAACTGTTCGATGAGACGACATTGTATGACAAACAATGGCAAGCAGCTTGGAAAGATGGTGAGGACTCATCATCAGAATTGGGTTCAAAGAAGTGAAACAAAGAGTCTTTTGCTTTTTCTTTTTTTGGTCGTATGATGATGTAATTAGTCAAAAGCTTAAGGAAACTGCTTTATGATGAATCGTTTTATAACATCAAGATATTTTCTCAGGCATAACTGACTCAAATCTCTGTGAGTGAAAGGATATACATACTCTACTGATTATGAAAGTCACGTTAAGAGTAACTTACTAGTCAAGGAAAAACAAATGATCACCATCTCTAATGACATCAACATCATCTATTTCAGCGTTTTCCGCATTGGTCACCGTTGTGAAGCTTCGGTCTCCAGATTTGTCGCCTGCATAATTTCCAGAGTTTTATTTAAGTGAATTTAGGAGATAACAAATGCAGTAAGGAGAAGCCAATGTGTTCATTTCTTCTTTTGGTTATGTTTTCCTCTTTCTCACATTATTATGAAGTAAAAGAGCTAATCTACCAGCAAGCATTAGCAGCTCTTGTATAGAATCAGGCAGGATTATCAACTTGGACAAATCTTTTGACCGTGACTTCAAGTGGATGGTAACTCTCCTATCATTTGGTTTTGCAGCTTCAAGCTTACTAGGTTTGACGGCGACGCTAGATCTGCAGTAGCGATGTGTTTCCTGGGAAGGAAATTCAAATATGAGGTAAGATCAGCATTAGAATCGTCCTTGTAATGCCACATTTTCTCCGACTCCTTTGACTCGCAGCCATTATCAATCTAAACCGATATAAAAACAAGATGTTATTATATGCAAACAACCTTCTGTAACTATTTTGACATTCACTATCTAACCTCCAACGATTCTCTTGCTGATTCATTTTCTTTTCTTTCAATCTCAGCAATCATTTCCTCTAGTTTAGCCTCCAACTTTGCCTCCACATCGCTTACCTTGCTCTGAACGGCTTGAGAAACCATGCTCTCAATCCTGTCTTCATAGTCCAAGTCATGTTGCGCCGTGTTGCTCTGGTTTGTTCGACGCTTACACCATTCAGCTTCTTCATAGGTTACTTGTACATCTACTAGCTTCCACCATCGTCGTCTCTAACCGATGATCCCTCTGCTGGTTTTTCATAGTCTACTAGTACCTCTACTAGTTTCTCAGCGGCGTTTCTAACCGATAATCTCTTTGCAGGTGGCTTCACATCCACTGGCTTTTGCACAACATCCCACACATGATGAGAGAAAGAGTGATTATTTGCCACCAGTTCCATGAGATAGTCAACCTCCTCATCTTCTTCCTCATCTGACCAGCACAAGAGGTCTTCTCCTTCTCCTTCTCCTCCTTCGATCAATGGCACAACCTGGACCTCAGTAGCACTCTTTTCGATTTCCAAAACATCATGCAAGCGAATCGAGCTAATCGCCGGGATCGCTTTCAAAGCAACCAGCTGCAATGCGTAAACAAAGCCTTGGATGGCGAGGCTCTTGTTGCCAAGGAGGATGCTCACAGTTTTCGCCTTGACGCTCCTCAAAACCATATCAAACGATAACCTTCCCCAGGGATACGCGAGAAACTCATCGACGTCTCTCACTAACTCAACCATCTCTTTGGGTATAAGGAAAGCATCCGACGTCGGACACAAAACCCCTTGCGCCAGGGAAAGGCAAGCGTATCGGATCCGCAGCTCCGGATCATCTTCCACCTTCCCGTTCTGGAATCTATCGACGATCCAATTCACAGTAAGGTTTTTCTCGTCCCCGAACAAAGTAGACCAATACGAGTCTCCTGGATTTCCCGCAGCAAAGACCCGTCACGATCGCAAACTCTTTCAGAGAGAACCTCCACGGCTTACCACCGAAGACGAACCAGAGCTCGTGCTTCTTCTTCGTCGCCAGCTGATTGCAAAGCAGGTAGTGAGCGAATTGAGACCCGTAGTTGGACATGGATGACAGATTCAGCAACATTCCGAAAGGGGAACGTTTCAGCATCGCAAGCTCGTGTGGTGGTAGAGCTTTTGCGATTACGTCGATCATCCAAAAACGAAGATACTCAGTTGCTCTACATTCCTTGGGTTCATCCCCAGGCCTGAAAAACCTACTCGGGAGTCTCTTCTCAACCATTATCGGAAGAAATTGTGACGATCGAGGTGGAGAGAGCTTTAGGGGTAATTCGAGTTCACAAGTGTTATGTTTGTTCTTGTGGTCTAATCATGAACGAGAAATCAGCACATCTGTGTCAAAGTGAGCTCATCGGAAACCAAAACCACCTATGTTCATCTTCAAATTGATAGGGTTTCGATTTCACAGCAACATTTTTGATCAAATTTTCAGAGAGATTGATTTTGTGCCAAGGTTTTGAGATTTTGTTTTGTTTCATTGGCGATTTTGTTTCTCTTCATGAAGGTTGGTCCTTTATTTGGTTTGGTTATTATTTATTTCGTCGGTTTACTTTTACAGTTTAATTCGACCGGGTTATTTGGTGAACGTGACCCATGTAGCGCAACACAGTTAACTGAAGAAAGAAAGGTTGGAATATCAAACAAAAGATTCTTGCTCTTTTTGGTTATATGTAGCAAATGTAAAGTGTGTTGTGTGGTTGGCCAATATGATAGAAAGAATAACAACATCCACATCCATTTTGGGCCCTCCTGAATTGAAATCTTCTACTAGAAGAAAATCGCACTACAACAAATATGGGTATCGATAGTAGATTATAATAGCATAATTTCATCAATATCCATATTTGTTGTAGTGTCGTTAGAAAATGAAAATAAAGCTTTTGAGGAATAATATTTTTGTGATGAACTAATTCAGAGTCACACTACAATTATCATTAGCGGATACGAAATCCAACACCAACATATACACTGATTATAATTTTGTAGTGATAACAAGCTAAATTAAAGTATTAGGAGAAGACAAATGAATGCTATCAGATTAGAATATAGATCTGTTTTGTTAGCTATAAAATTTACAAATTGAAGTTACTGGAGTTTATTTCTTTCTAGTTTCTCTGGAGTTCATTCAAAATGGTTTCAAAAAAAGAAAGTTTCATGTAGAATCAATGATCAAAAGAAAATTACAATTCTGGAAGAATATAATACAATATGTTTTAAACAAACAAAAGAAAAATAAAAATAAAAACAAGAAGAGGCTACAAAGCGTAAATAACCAACGACGTAAGATGTTTTGCAGGCGGAAATAGTCAATCTTGAGATAATGAAGATGGCAAAACGACTGAGGATGGCATTTACCCCTCTACTAAATTAATCTAAACAAAATAAAGAGCAAAATGTCATGTTTCTCTTTTTGTAAACTATGTTATCTTGACAACAATGCTCTGTACCATGGCAAAGTGGCCGAGACATGGTCTTGTTGTGAAGAATAAGAACATCCTTCCCCCAATGCTTGATCTGACCAGGTTTCATATAAGGGTCTTTCCCAAGCAGACAACGAACATGAACAATGGTGGAGCAATAGTCGTCGCAAGAATAGAACCCTCCTTTTCTTGAATATACTAATTTGCTTTCGCATATATCACACCAGCCCTGCTCATCATTTCCCTCTTCCTTTTTTCGAAATACCAGAAAATGTTTGTCATGTTTATACCTTGTCTTGTATGGTAATGTAGCACATCCAAAACATATGATATAATTGCATTCGATGCAAGCCAGTTTTTGCGAGTCATTATATTCATCATCTTTTTCTTGGCAGATTTGACATATTGCTGATTTTTCTTCTTCCGGTGTTAAAGCTAAGAATAAGGGATGTTCATGGCCTTCATATTGAAATGGTTCAGAGACCGATGCACACCGTAAATCTAATTGGAAACCATCCCAACCACCTTTGGGTTCCTTATAGACGAAACCACAAATTTTACGGCGACAAGCACTACAATAGTGGTTCTCAATCAATTAAAAGACTTTCTGCTCTCTCAAAAGGGCGATAAGTCAAACCCCTTTCCTTTTCAACCGCCGTTGTCACTCCGGCGACGGTAACCCCTCTTTATCAGTCCCCAATGGGGAAATTTAAGCGCCCAAAGTCCTCTCTCCCTCCGCCAAAGATTACCCCTGAGAAATCTTCTCCCAAGATTCTCACCCCCCTTATCTCCCTCGAGACTCCGACACCAAATATGAGCTCGTCACCACCGACGACGCAACCGAATTCCGACCCCCAGGACCAATTATTAGGTGAATCTTCTTCACCCACGGGGCCTTCAGTCACGGAATTGCTAGGATCCACTTCTGGTCCCACCCCTGCTGAATCTGGATCTCAAACCCAGATTCCTGTGCACTCTTCTTTGGATTCTCCTGCTGCTGCCACGAACTCTACCGGGCCTGCTTGGATTGACCTCTTCAAAGTTCCCACAGGAATGATGAAGAAAAAGGGCTCCCCCTTTCTGCTGGATTCAGCTGAAATATGTGTGAAGATACCAAATGAGGTCATCACCAGAAATCTCAAGAGATGGGATTCCTTTGTACTAGGACAATTCCATGGAAATTTACCCTCGTATGGTGCGCTTCACGCCATCTTCAACGGGATTTGGAGTCGAAAGTTTAGAGATATCACTGTCTCCAAATTGGGAGTTAACACGGTTCTCATCAAAATCCCTTGTCTTACTACTAGAAGTAGAGTACTTAGTCAAGGAATTTGGCACATTGAGGGTCAATCCATGTTCGTCGCAGCTTGGCAATCAGGCCTCATCCCGGCTATGCCTGCTCTAACTTCAGCTCATGTTTGGCTAGAATTCAGAGGAGTTCCTCCACATTTCTATTCGGAGGAAGGTCTTGAACATGTTGCAGGTTGTATTGGGCATCCAGTTCGGCAGCATCCTTCGACAGCAAATATGACTAACTTAGAAGTGGCTAAAATTCTTACAATCATTAATCCTTCTGAACCTATCCCTGAGGTGATGAACGTTCAGTTTGATTCTGGAGAAATTCACAGGGTAGAGGTTTCTTGTTCGTGGCTTCCTCCGATTTGTGATCATTGCCAAACTATAGGTCACAGTATCAGACATTGTCCCACAGCTCCGATTACTTGTTCCGTATGTAAGTCAACAGCCCATGTAGAGGACTCCAGCCCTCGTGCTAAGAAGAAAGTGGAGCAGGTTGAGAAGGCTACTGAAACAGTGGTGATTGCAGAGGTCAAAGACTCTGCAAAAAGGAAGAATCCGGTAAGGAGGAAGAAAGATAAAATAAAGGACCGTGACTGTACTGGAGCTTCTAAAAGAGTTGTTTCAAAAGAGAAAGGCATCGTGTTTACAACTCCAAAGTCAGTTAAAGAACACAAAAGACCAAAACCAGCCATTGCGCTCTCCGACAAAGGGAAGGGGATTACCTCTCCAGCTGATAAGTACCTACTTATGGAGAAGAAACACCCTTCAAACTCCTCAGTGGATAGCTCTTCTTCTGAGGATGAAGCGTCCGAAGAAGAATCATCTGGAGAATCGTCTTCAGCGGACTCTCAGTCTAAAGAAGAAGATAATCCCGTGGATGATGCTCGGTTCATGGATATGGTTTCGAAGAAGCTACAACACAAAAAATCTGGCTCTCAGGGGAATCACCCCAAAACTCCTCCCATCCGTATTAGATGAGTGTCGATACTTTCTGCTAGAATGTCAGAGGCTTCAATCATAAGTTAAAAAGGCGTAATCTCAAGAAATGGCTACGGCAGACCAAGCCGCTTTTTGGTAGTATAGTAGAGACTCGCGTGAGGAGTATTAACTCCCAAAGTTATATTCATAACACGTTTCCAGGGTGGTATTTTGCTACTAATTATGAGTTTGCTGAGCTTGGAAGGATCTGGGTGATCCGTCGGTGTCCCTAACAATCCTTTCTAAAACAAGTCAAACGATCACTTGTGTGATTAAGCTTCCTCGTACCACCACTGAGGTTATTATCTCTTATATTTATGCTGTTAATACCAAGTCAGGCAGACTTCAGCTTTGGGATGACTTAAAAGAGTTGGCAATAAATCCTTGTCTCTCTAACAAACCGTGGGCGGTGTTGGGGGATTTTAATCAAATTTTAAATCCTTCAGAAAAGTCGAATGGAGGGACAAGAATTTCTAGAGGAATTCAAGACTTCAGGGATTATGTTTCTCATACGAGAATTTTTGATATCTTGACTAGAGGCAATCTGTTTACTTGGTGGAATAATCAAGAGAGCAACCACATCGCAAAGAAGCTTGATCGAGTCCTTATCAACGATATTTGGCAACTCAAATTCCCTCTCGCGTATGGGCAGTTTGGAGTCCTGGGTTTTCCGATCATAGCCCGGCTTGCATTGTTCTGGGAAACCAAGGAGTAATGAAGAAGCCATTCATGGTCTCCCATTTTCTCCTACATCATCCAGACTTTCTTCAAAGAGTGGCCTCTCATTGGCTAACCACTTGTATTAATGGTACGGCAATGTTCTCCTTCTCCAAAAAGTTGAAGCTGTTGAAACCTGTGATTAAAGACATCAACTGAGAGCATTACTCTGATCTGGAAAATAGAGTTAAAGAATCTCATTTGATCTTGTTAAACGCCCGAAATCGTCTCCTGGCTAATCCTACTTCTCTCTTAGCTGCCCGGGAAAAAGTTTCTCATGAAACTTGGAAGAATTTAGCTCTAGCAGAGGAGAAATTTCTTTTCAAAAATCCAGAGTGCAGTGGTATGATAGCGGAGATTGTAACTCAGCTTACTTTCACAGAATTGTAGCATCAAGACGAGCAGCTAACCAGATTCACTATCTCTTGGGTTTTTAGGGACAGAGAATGGAAGATATGGAAGTTGTGAAATCTCACTGTGTGGATTACTTCTCTGTTCTGTTTGGAACCGAACCTCACCCCTTGACTGCCGCTGACATTGAGCAGATTAGTCTCTTTACAAAATTTAGATGCAGTGAAACCACTAAGGTGTCTCTCCAAGCATCGGTCTCGGCGGAGGATATTAAAAGAGAAGTCTATGCTCTTCCGTTAAAAAAGACTCCAGGCCCTGATGGATTCACAGCAGAATTTTATAGAAAAGCTTGGGAAGTAATTGGGGACGACTTGACAAAGGCAGTCTTGGAGTTCTTTGAATCTGGTCAACTTCTTAAGCAGTGGAACTGTACAGCCATCTCCCTTATCCCTAAGCGAATTGGGGCTGATAAATTAGAGGACTTCAGGCCTATTTCCCTCTGCAATGTTGTTTACAAAGTTATCTTTAAGATTCTGGCAAGAAGACTGCAAGCTATTACACCTCATATGATCTCTAACTCCCAATCAGCCTTTGTCACCGGAAGACTTTTGATGGAAAATGTTCTGTTAGCGACAGAAATGGTTCAGGGATTTGGAAATTCTAATAGTTCTAAGAGAGGTCTTCTCAAAGTTGACCTGAAGAAAGCCTTTGAATCAGTGAATTGGGAATTTATTATTCAGATCTTCATAGCGGCAGAATTCCCGCCAATCTTTACGAATTGGATTGTTCAGTGCATCTCAACAACCTCCTTCTCTATCAATGTGAACGGAGAGCTTTGTGGCTACTTTAAAGGTTCCAGAGGTTTAAGGCAGGGAGATCCTCTCTCTCCTTCCTTATTTGTAATGGCTATGGAAGTATACTCAAACCTAATCATCTCTCATTTTGAAGTGGGCTCTATTGGTTACCACCCCCTCGCCAGGAACCCCAAGATATCTCACCTTGCATTTGCGGATGACATTGTTATTCTCTTCGACGGAACTAGTCATTCCCTGCAAGGTATTGCCACATCTCTTGACTCCTTCCACACTATATCTAGGATGAGTATGAACAGGGACAAGACGGACTTATTCACAACGGGTTTGAATCCTGAGGAAGCTGAAACTCTAACCATGTTTGGTTTCCGAAGGGGTACCCTCCCCATCCGTTATCTGGGTTTACCGCTCCTCCATCGCAAACTAAGGAAAGCTGACTATTCCCCCCCCCTCCTAGATAAAATTGCGTCGAAGTTTAATAGCTGGACGGTCAAACGCCTTTCCTTTGCAATCCGTCTTCAACTAATCTCTTCTGTCATTTACAGTTTGGTGAATTTTTGGTTTTCTACGTTATTGCTTCCTAAGGGTTGTTTGAAAGCTATCGAGCAGCTCTGCTCCCGGTTCCTATGGTCTGGTGATATTGAAAAGCGAGGATCAGTAAATGTCTCATGGAACCAGACTTGTTTATCCAAATCTGAAGGAGGCCTTGGGCTAAGGAACTTCCTGATTTGGAATAGAGTCTTTAATCTGAGATTGATTTGGCAACTCTTTTCAAATAGTGGGTCTTTGTGGATTGCATGAGTAAGGGAACACAAACTCAAAAGATCTTGCTACTGGTCTACTGAAACTAAGAGTGGAGATTCTTGGATTTGGAAATTTCTCTTTTCTCTAAGGCCTGTCGCAAAAAAGCTGCTCAGTTGTAAGTTGAATGATGGCAAATCAGCTAGTTTCTGGTTTGATATCTGGTGTGAGATTGGTCTTCTAATTGAAGTTGTAGGTCGTTCGGGTCCAAGGCTTATGGGAATTCCGATTCAGAGCACGGTAGAGGAGGCTTTCAATACTCAGGATTGGCAGGCCACTTCACGATCAATGAATGTCTAGATTTGTATGGTGCGGGATTATTTAAGAAATTGCCAACCTCCTCAGTCTTCGCAGGGACCAGATTGCTTCTATTGGGGTCTTCTCCCAAACGCTACAACGGATTTCAGTTCAAAGAAAACTTGGGAAATTCTCAAACCCGTTGAGACAGTAAAATCCTGGTTCAAAGCAGTGTGGTTCAAGTATGGAGTTCTTAAGCACTCCTTCACTTTCTGGACGGCGAATCTTGATAGGCTCCCTGTAAAAACAAGGTTGGTCCACTGGGGTATCAATATTGATCCAACTTGTTCGTTTTGCTCCATGCACCAGAAATCGATAGATCATCTTCTTCTTTGGTGTGACTACTCTGCGCAAATTTGGCGAAAGGTTCTCCCTCGGCTGGGGTTACCAACAACGGTTATGGGTTCATGGGAGCTCTTAATTTCTTGCTTACTGCATCATTCTGGAAATGGAACTCTGTAACGATTGGCTATTCAAGCAACGGTTTATATTCTTTGGCGAGAAAGAAATAGCAGGATCTATAACAGCTTCTCTCTTCCGCCAGACATCGTCTTCCACCAAATCGACAGGACAATCAGAGATACTCTCCTTGCCAGAAGGTTTAGAAAAGGATGTGGAGATCTCTTAACTCAATGGTTTTCTTATAGCTGGTTGTCGCTTGCTGATGCTTCTTGACTTGTAGTATCAGTTAACTTCTCTCGGTTTTTTACACTTTTTTTTTTGGGCCGTAGAAGTTTTCTGCTTATTAGATCTTATATTAAACTTTCCCTTTGGTAATAATATTCACATTTTATTCAAAAAAAAGCACTACAATAGAAGTAACCTTGGCCACCCGAATATTTAAAAAGGCCAACCTTTAGTGTAAGTGAGTGAGCATGCATCGGATGTTGTTTCTTGCAAGGCGTATTGGCACACGCCTCGTGGAGTATGAAGTCGCATTGATCCTTACACGAATAGTAGCCACCTTCGTAGATTGGAAAGCTGCACGCTTGACAAATATTTCCTTCATCGTAAGCTCCACAGATCTCGAGTTTCAGATGATGATAATGAGCAAAATGGAGTATTATTCCATCACTTATTCTCTGGAATGGCTCAACAACTATCTCAGCAGGTTCTTCAGGTATCCCCTCGAGTTCTTCTCCATCCCATAAGTCTTTTCTCAATGAGCATTTTGTATGAACAAAATAACCATCACACTTATTGCAAGAGTATGCACCATAACTGTTGTCGACCTTTCGACGACACACTCCGCAAAACCACTTTCCAGGTGGAAGGAAGGAGATAAAGGAGATACGGTGGTGGTGACGAGAGATTCTGATGAGATAAGGGTGATAGACACAATCTTGATGGACTACGAAGACACACCGAGCACAAACATACGTGGGATATTATTTTCAGAGAGATTGATTTTGTGCCAAGGTTTTTGATTTGTTTCATTGGCGATTTTGTTTCTCTTCATGAAGGTTGATCCTTTGTTTGGTTTGGTTATTATTTATTTCACCGGATTACTTTTTAAAAATTTAATCTGACCGGGTTAGATGGTGAAAGCACGACCCATGTAGCGCAACAGAGTTAACGGAAGAAAGAAACGTTGGAATGTCAAACAAAAGATGTAATATATACAGAGGTTCTAAGACTAAGATGTTATGATAATATGATAGAAAGAGTCGACGATGTGTGTGTTGTGTGGTTGGCTAATATGATTGAAAGAATGTCAACATCCACATCCATTTTTGGGCCTCCTGAGTTGAAATCTTCTATTAGAAGAAAATCGTTAGGAAATGAAAATAAAGCTTTAAGGAACAATATCTTTGTGATGAACTAATTCAGAGCCATACTACAATTATCATTAGTGGATGTGAAATCCAACACCAACATATACACTGGTTATAATTTTGTGATGATAATAAGCTAAAAGTATTAGGAGAAGACAAACGAATGCTATCTTATTAGAATATATGTACGTTTGCTAGCTATAAATTTTACAAATTGAAGTTACTGGGGTTTATTTCTTTCTAGTTTCTCTGGAGTTCATTCAAAATAGTTTCAGAAAAATAAGCAAAAAAATAAAATTTCATGTAGAATCAATGATCAAAAGAAAATTACAATTCTGGAAGAATATATTACAATGCGTTTTAAACAAACAAAAGAAAAATAAAAATAAAAACAAGAAGAGGCTACAAAGCGTAAATAACCAACGACGTAAGATGTTTTGCAGGCGGAGATAGTCAATCTTGAGATAACGAAGATGGCAAAACAACTGAGGATGGCATTTACCCCTCTACTAAATTAATCTAAATAAGATAAAGAGCAAAATGTCATGTTTCTCTTTTGTAAACTATTTTATCTTGACAACGATGCTCTGTACCATGGCAAAGTGGCCGAGACATGGTCTTGTTGTGAAGAATAAGAACATCCTTCCCCTAATGCTTGATCTGACCAGGTTTCATATAAGGGTTATTCCCAAGCAGACAACGAACATGAACAATGGTGGAGCAATAGTCGTCGCAAGAATAGAAACCTCCTTTTCTTTAAAATACTATTTTGCTTTCGCATATATCACACCATCCCTGCTCATCATTTCCCTCTTCCTTTTTCCGAAATACCAGAAAATGTTTGTCATGTTTATACCTTGCCTTGTATGGTAATGTAGCACATCCAAAACATATGGTATAATTGCATTCGATGCAAGCCAGTTTTCGCGAGTCATTATATTCATCATCTTTTTCTTGGCAGATTTGACATATTGCTGATTTTTCTTCTTCCGGCGTTAAAGCTAAGAATAAGGGATGTTCATGGCCTTCATATTGAAATAGTTCAGAGACCGATGCACACCGTAAATCTAATTGGAAACCATCCCAACCACCTTTGGGTTCTTTATAGACGAAACCACAAATTTTACGGCGACAAGCACTACAATAGAAGTAACCTTGGCCACCTGAATATTTAAAATGGCCAACCTTTAGTGTAAGTGAGTGAGCATGCATCGGATGTTGTTTCTTGCAAGGCGTATTGGCACACGCTTCGTAGAGGATGAAGTCGCATTGATCCATACACGAATAGTAGCTACCTTCGTAGACTGGAAAGCTGCACGCTTGACAAATATTTCCTTCATCGTATGCTCCACAGATCTCGAGTTTCAGATGATGATAATGAGCAAAATAGAGCATAATTCCATCACTTATTCTCTGGAATGGCTCAACAACTATCTCAGGAGGTTCTTCAGATATCCCCTCGAGTTCTTCCCCATCTCATAAGTCTTTTCTCAATGCGCATTTTGTATGAACAAAATAACCATCACAGTTGTTGCAAGAGTAGGCACCATAACTGTTGTCGACCTTTCGGCGACACTCTGCAGGACCATTTTCCGAAAGGAAGAAAGGAAGTGAAGGAGATACGGTGGTGGTGACGAGAGATTTTGATGACATAGGGATGATAGATACAATATTTATGTAGGATAATATAATTTAGTTAGGCCACAAACATACGTGGGATAATGTATTTTAGTTAGGCCACAAACATCGCACGGTAACAAATTTTGTTTAGGGAAAAAGGTGAGAAGGTGAAGATGTCTTTTTGGGTGGTCTATAATAATAGGTATTGACTTTATCGCACAAACTAGATCCACAATTAACTTCTTGGTAGGACAATAATAAAGCTTTTGAAAGATGAGTTGTTGACAACAGGAACAATGCCACTTGTCAAAAAAAATTGGCGGAATGAGGGCAATGGTAAAGTTTGAGAGATAGAAAAGGGTAAGAAGGGTGTTTGATCTCAAGTGGAGACTCTATGCATTCTTTGTGGAACTTTCTACTACACGTGGCACATAAATAATAATCTGTGCCGAGCTTTGAGCTTTCGCATAGACCGCAACGAAAATCTTTCCAATCATGCATACAAGCTTTATTGTTGCACCAAAAAAAAGGGAGGAGAGGGAGCTCACAAGTATGATGATAGACGTCTGATCCAATTAAAAACCGGAACTGTTGATCACCGCTCGTTTTGTTATAGAAGTAAGGGTACGGGAAATCATCCACTGGAATAAAGTCTTTGCCATCACGATTATCCCACAATATTCGTGGTTTGACAAAACGTCCGGTTATATAACCAAATGTAGGTACGTGATTAGTAGCAACTGTAATATATCAAGAGGTTTTAAGATGTTTTCTCAGGCAATACTACCTGATTCAAAGCAAGCTCTGAACTATTGAATGCGTTGCTGTCGAGTGTATTCCCATAGGGCAATGGCACCGCTTACATGAACGTTGAGGGACCGAACAACTCCAAGCTGTGGGATCTCCACACAAGCGTCCAGTACATGGATTATATCCACAGGTATGCCTTCCTTCTCACGACCCAGCACCAAAACCTTTACAACAGAGACAGCATCCATTTAGTTCCGTGGGTAAAAGTGTGAGCAAACGAAAAACTTTTCTTCTTTGTTTTGTTCATGTACTTACCGTCTTCTTTGGGAAGTTGTACTTGTCCAGTGACACGCTGTTAGCTGTCTGCTCCAGTCCCAAGATTGAGAAGCCTTCTCGTTTCTTTTTCTCCAAAAAGAGTTTCAAACTGTTCACCGGGACTTCTATAATTGGAACCCATTTCTCAGCAGTCACGCTGCAGAACAGAAAAACTCTTGTAAATGGACTCTCAAGGGTAACAACCATTCTTATGATTCAGCAGGAGCTGATGTGATGTGTCCTTGTCATCAGATTTATTGATTATTCTCGGTCAGATTTTCTTGTCCACTTTCGCAACACTCTTCCAATCTACTGATCCATTTACCATACTCATGTATTCTAAGCGCATCCAACAGCATGAACTCGTGCTATCTTTCAAATATACAGTCAAGAAACTTGAACATATGAAGCCATACCTGATTAGTTGGAATTGTTTGTCATGTATCACATTTGCATCTGCAACAGCAAGACCTGATGCTTTAAATATCTGGAAAATATGCAGAGAGGGGCTGGTTAGAACCGTATTAGATACAATAAGGACAAGATTATCGAAATGGAAGTAAAGACTAGGAAAGGAACAGTTATACCTCGCATGTTCGGGCTAATCCAGCAAGATTAGGAATACGATCAAGCAATGAAGCCACAAGGATCAAATCCTGTCGACCAGATTTCAGCCTTTCCACCTCCATGCTTCTAGATCTTAAGAGTTGACTCACGAGCTCGTCTTCCTTTTCCATTTCTGAAAAGTTACCCTCTAAACTGTTGGTATGGTGCAGAGAGAGTGTACATAATCTTGAGAAATAGACAGCTAGGTAATATTTGCATACCAAAGAGCCGCTTGTAAGTTTCCCCGTTTTGGAGCACAGAAGTTGAACTAGCATCTTGCTTCTCGTGTTTGGACAGTGTGATCTTCTTCTGGAAATCCAACGAAGATGGCTCAGAAAGCCTTCCTTCATCTGACGTGGACATGATTAACCGACGGTTGGGCTCTTCAATCTTAAAGCCTTCATTCTTAATGGTAACGATGTCTTTTGCCATGGAAGCACGGAGATCTTCCCTTACATCCTGCAAAATTGAAGATAAGAGACAGAAACACAACAAGAAAAGGAAAAGCATACTGAAATGTGTTTATGTGCTTACATTTAGAAAAGAAATCACGTTATCCATGAGGCATGTTGGAACACATTCAAACTCACTTTCCTGCACCACCACCACAAAACTTTCTTAAAATCAAATGACATTAAGATCTGAAAGCAATTTTGTCAAAACGCATCAAAGGATTCAGTAGGAACCACAATATAATAATCTCAATAATGTGGTTACTTGGCTTTATGATAAAATTTTGAATTAGCCACTGGTAAAAGAACCACTTGAAGATTTCATTGCTTACCTCAACACGGTTGACGAAAACACCAGCCGGAGTAGCAGATGTGGTGGGATTATAGGCATCAAGATATCCTTCCATTGATGATCTCAATCTAGACCAGAAGAGAAAATCCACAATTGAATTTGTATAATAAACCACAACTTTCTAGATGGCTTTGTCAGCAACAGCAACAGCAACAGTACGATCGTTTCTATAAACGATATGAAAAATCATAATCATAGCGGGTAGAGCAACACACCTTGAACAATCAGGATTCTTGTCCAAGTAAGCCTTCAATTTCTCAAAAGAAAGTTTCGCCAACGATATTGTCTGAGAGGATGTGGACTCCACAGGTGGAAACAGTCTAACGAGTACTCGATGCACTAATAACTGCCGAACCCAAAAGAAAATGGAATAAGATTGATATACAATTTAAGGCCAACATTTACCAAAAAGAAGAGAGAGATGGCATATATAAAAGACCGACCTGAGTGAAACCACGTAAGCTGTGATGATGAGAAGTTAATAACGGAATTATAGGTGGAAGTAGTTCTCTCAAATGTGTCTGTTGAGCTATCTTTTCGGCATGAAGGATGACATTGGCTGCAATGAAGACATAGGACGAGAGAGCTTGCTGCAGATTTACAGGAGTACATTTATCAATATACTGAACTGAAAACTTCTACAGAGTATATTTTCGGTTCAGTAAAACATTCAATGTGTATTTTGCAC